GATAGGAGGAATGAGTTCAAGAGATCTATTGTACAATATGGTGACTATATTTAATAACAATGTATTACATTTCTGAAAATTGCTAAGATAATTGATTATAAGTGTTCTAATCATTAAAAAAAGATAAGTATGTGAGGTAATGCATATGCTACTTAGCTTAATTTAGCCATTCCACAAAGTATATATATTTCAAAACACCATGTTGTAATAATAATAAATATATATATAATTTTTATTCGTCAATTAAAATAATAAATTAGCCAGGCATGGTGGCAAGCACCTGTAGCAACTTGGGAGGCTGAGGCAGAAGGATGGCTTGAGCCCAGGCATTGGAAGTTGCAGTGAGCTATGTTGATGCCACTGTACTCTAGCCCAGGCAAGAGCAAGACTCTGTCTCAAAAAAAAAAAAAAAAAAAAAGTATGTATTAATATATGTAAATACATAATACTTGCATAAATTGGTGAAATTAAAATGAATTGAAAAAGCCATAATTTGCCTCCATAATGTATTAACGATTTGTATTTCAACATTTGATAGCTGGTTTATATTGAGAATATTGATTTAAACTATTTCCTTCCTTTTTACTACATAAAGCTTGAGATTTCTAGTTATTTAATGCTTCTTCCTAGCTTTAGTCCTGTCAAATTCTCTAAAATATTAGACTGCATTGGTCATTATTGTTCCCTTAAGAGATTAGAAATTCTGAAAATTAAAAAAAAAACAACACGCTGTGTAAATCTCTGCAAGATAAGGTAATAGGTGTGGTCGGCAGGTTGAGATAAAAATCCAAAACACTGTAAATAATAGTCTGTGATTTTTGCATACTGAGAGAGTGCCGGAAAATCTCCTGGCAATGATGTTGCTAGATGGAGCCTTCTTGGGATCCTGGCCAAGGATTTACTTTAATCCTTAGGAATTGTGCAATTTACGAATTGAAGTTTCAATTTCACTTGCATTTAATAGCTAGCTATTCTCTCTGCCATGTGTATTCTTCTTTGTCAATTTTATTGATCAAAGGGCCTGTTGTGCACTTATTAGGCAAGAATGGGAATCTTCCTTTTCAGAGTGGCGTCCAGCTCATCTATTTAAGGCATGCCGTCATCTATGGCAACGAGGAGTTTAAAGTGCTTACTAAGGCAAAACCAAACAACAGCAACAACTAAACAAAAACCAAGCCTGGTGTTGAATAACACAAAACATCTTATACGTCTTTGGCTTGCTTAAAAAAATGAAAGCTGGGCTTTTCCTTACAAAGCTACTGCACCCCCAGGATTTTGCCTTTGCCACTGTGGACCTAGCTGTCTGCCACAGATGGGAGTGAAAAGAGAGATCTCAGAATAGGTCAGGAAGGTGAAAGGACGCAGGACTGGTTTCTTCCTTGTGAAGTGGACAACATAGGATTCCCTAGCTAGGCCCTTACCTTTCCATCCAATCTGCAACAGATCTGAGAAAAGGAGGATGGAAGAGGACACAGGAGCAGGACAATAGATAGATGACAGCTCTTTGTTTATGCCATTTCACAAAATATCTTAGCTGGAAAGATCTTTAAAATCATCTAGCTTGACTACTCCTTATTACAGACTGAAGGGCCAGAAGGGAGGGAAATATGCCCCAAACTGTGCAGTTAGTAGCAGAATTGGCTCTAGAACTCAGTCAAGGTGTTTTTCCACTTTCCCACACTGCTTTGATGAATTTCTTTGGAAGAAGAGATGGCCAAAGCTGGCGAAGGTAAATCTTCAAGGCAGACAAAGTTTGCTATAGGCACGTTTCCAGCTCCATTTCTCCTCCCTTATGGTACCCTCCACTCCCAATCCCTAAGGAAAGGCTCAGTGCCCTCATGTTGCCCTCTGGACACCTAGCCATCCCACCCACCCCAGCCCAGACCTCCATTTTCTCAGAGTAATGATGGCGAACAGGTCTTGGGAAAGCTATTCCTTTAAAGAAATTCACATAAAAATTCCAACTGGTACTTAATCTCCCTAATCTTCACAGTGGGATTGCTTTGAAACTCTAATTTCTAATTATATTTTGAAAATGTTCTAATTTCTAAATGTTAAATATTTAAGGCAGAATGAGGAAGGGATTTTTTATCTCTTCTAGGCCAGCCAGTGAGTAGGGCAGAATTAATTATGGTCTTGCTCAATTTCAAGTCATGAAGGGCTCGACTTACAGGGAAAAGCAAGCTGGTGCATAGCGCCAGGGGAAGAGATCTTTTGTTCCCGGTTGGAAGTACTGTGAGCTGTCAAGGCATGAACCCAGCACAGCACCCTGGCGTCAGGCATAGTACCAGCCCTGGGTTACATCTGGAAATTGGATTTGGAAATGGAGGAAGGGACTTTTAATGGGTCTCTTGAAGTCAATTCATGACTAAATAAATACCCATTATTTAGTGGGAATGATGGAGCCAACTTTGGTGAAGGATTTTTTTTTTCCTAAACGAGAATAGATTTAAGGAATAAGAGGCTGTATATACTGCATCCAGAGAGATGCCAATCTTTAAAATATACTGTGGGAATTTATTTGAATTCAATCTAAGATGATTTTCAAATTTAGTTTATATAAGACAGTGCTGGTATTTTACAGGGAGTTCTTAGACATGAGGAAATACAGAGTGATTTTCTTTGATCTGAATATTGCAGGTAGTAGTAGGAGGAGATTAGCAAATTCAGAAGAAAGAAATTGGGTAACAGGGCAGGTCTTTGTCAGAGCACAGAGTGGAGTTCTGAGAATTCGGGCGAGGATGAGACAGGATAGGGATTCAAATCCAAGAAAAGTAATTGTTGGCTAGAGGGGACAGCAATTAGGAAAGCAGGAGAGGAACAGTGGAAAGGAGATCTTCAAATAGGGACTTCCTCAGGACAAGTAAAAATTACAAGGATTCTTTCTAGCTGGTGCTTCTGATGGTTCCTCTTCTCACAATTTTCTCTCACTGCAAGTATTTCTCAAGGATTAGGACTGAATTTTCTTCCCGCTCACAGCACTCCCTTACTGCCTCAGGGAAATAAATTGCTCATATGGTTTCAGTCCCCAGAATATACAGCTTAAATTAAGACTTGAGTCTCTAGCCTGGATCACTCACATTTTTTCTAGTTGTTTCTTATAGCTAATCACCCCAGACTGTCTAATGAACACAAATTTGTTTTCTGTATTCACATCCCTAAAATGCTTTTTTCTGGTTGGGTGCGGTGGCTCATGCCTATAATCCTAGCACTCTGGGAGGCCAAGGCAGGAGGATCACTTGAGGTCAGGAGTTCGAGACCAGCCTGAGCAAGAGCGAGACCACATCTCTACCAAAAAATAGAAAGAAATTATCCAGACAACTAAAAAAGAATATATATATATATATATATATAGAGAGAGAAAAAATTAGCCAGGCATGGTGGCGCATGCCTGTAGTCCCAGCTACTCGGGAGGCTGAGGCAGGAGGATCGCTTGAGCCCAGGAGTTTGAGGTTCTCATCACTTCAGTCCTTCAGGAAATCTCTTGGAGTCATGATCAGGTTTATTTCATGATGTTCGTGCTGGTGTCTTCTTTAAGTTTTCTATTGAGATCTCAATTTGTGCCTTCCTGGCACAAACCTCATTAGGCTGGTTCCTCTTGGTGACTGTATACACTGAAGGCGGATTGTCTTCAGTTGACAGTGCTCGCTAGACAATAAGTAAACATTTCAGAGTGCCAATAAACTAAATTGGTATAAAAAGAACAGTGTGACATATCTGTCTGCTGGAAGACAGGAGTCTTTTCATGGTAGGAATGCAAAAGCCACCAAGTGGAAAATGCATGCAGTTGAGTAGTAGGATGAGGTCTCACATTGTTTTGGAGGTGTGGGGCACATGACAACCACTGCATTAAAAAAATATAATGGATTTTTTTCAAGGAACCAAATATTAACTGTGGAAGTTAATATACTCAAGAAGCTCTAAAGGGTGAAGAGAATAATAACTAATATTTATGTAGCTCTTTATATCACAAAATTAATATAATTGTTTTAATACTTTTAACACCCTCAAGAGGTAGGTATTATTTTCTTTGTTTTAGTGTTGAAGACACCAATGATCAGAAGTCATCTTTGCAAAGCCAAAACCTGACCTTGGTTGGATGTCTTTCCATCTAAAGAGGAAGAGGGCAAGTGTGGAAAGACAGCGGCACCAGCCATCCTGAATACTCAATGCTGCTAGAGACCCTTTTGGTATGAGGAGAAGCTCTTCTCATGCCCTAAGACCAGCCTTTTCCCTCAACACACAGAAGATGGTCACTAGCTATGGCTGGTGAGCGAGAGGAAGGGTGAGGAGCACTGGTTAAGAAGGACCCACCAGGACTCAAATTTACTGATTGTTTTTTGGGCAAAGGTAGAAAATTAACAGCCTAGCATCTATCCAGCTATCTAACACAGATGTGGATATTTTTCTTGCCAAAAGAAGAAAGTTTTGGCCAGGTGCAGTGGTGCGCCTGGAGTCTCAGCTACTCGGGAGGCTGAGGCCGGAGGATTGCTTGAGGCTAGGAGTTCAAGTCCAACCTGAGCAAAATAGCAAGACCCTGTCTCTACAAAAAAAAAAAAAAAAAAAAAAAAAGAAAGAAAGAAAAAAAAGAAGTTTTCTTTTAGGCCACTGTGAAAAAATTGGGCAAATTTCTAGCAGGAATATACTCATATATTGGTAAAATACAATGTCATGACCATTTCTTCATTACGGTGCTTTAGCTTTCTCCCACAGGATGGTGACCCTTATTTTATGAGAAGATGATGCCCCCCTTGGAAGCACAGCAGCTTTGACTAAGATAAATGAGATTCAAAGACAGAGGCCAATGGGTACCAATGACAAATGATTTTTAGATTCCCTAGATTGTACTTAGAGTTCTAAATTAAATAACATCAGATCTTATGCCTTACTTTAAATGTGCATATAATTTGAGAACATGTTTTCAACTGTAATGACATGTGATTTAAAGAAATACTGTTTCAGTTATCTACTGCTGTATAACAAATCATCCCAAAACGTAGTGACTAAAAACAACAGTGATTTATTATTTCTCACAATTCCTGTGGGCTGACTGGGCTCAGGTGGGCAGTTATCGTGTTCTACTTGGTGCTGGCTAGAGGCACTTGTTTGGCTACATCTGGCTGGTGGCTGTGCTGAGTTGGAAGGTGCAGGAAGGCTTCACTTAGGGGTCTGGCTCTTTGGTGCTCTTCCAATGGTCTCTTTCTCTCCATGTGGTGTCTTAGCGGTCCAGCCTAAGCTCCTTTGCAGCATGGTAGCTGGCTTCCCCAGAGAGAGGAGGCAGAAGCTGCCAGGCCCTTCAAGGGCTAGATCACAAAATGGCACAGCATCACCTCTGATGCATTCTGTGTGCCTCAGGAGGTCACAAGGCCAGCCTGGATTCAGGTGGGGACGGAGGAAGGCAACTTCACCTCTTGACAAAAGGAGTGGCAGGTGTCATTGCAATAGGCATGGGGATGGGAGAAATTATTGCAGTCATCATTAGAAACAATCGACTATACTCTTTCAATCACAGGCAGCATTAAAAATAACAAAAGTAGAAAGGTTAGTTCAAAAAGAAAATAAGAGAATTGAAGCATATTTAAATAGTGACCTCATTAATTGTTTTATAATTGTTTTTCTCTCTTTTGATCATTAGTCTGAGTTTGGTCTCAAGCCTTTTTCACCTTTTACCCACAACAGAAACTACCGTGATAGCCTGGAATTGAAGATATGAGAAAATTTCACATCTGTAGCTTCAGTATTGTAAAGGGTCAGAGAAATATTTTGATAAATTGAAAGAAAAAGATTCTTACAGCCTTAAGGTAAAATTGTGGAGATGTTCTCAGGGATAAACATCTAGCTAGTCAGACTGGGAAAGATTTTGTTTGTTTTTCTATTTGTAAAACTTTCCAACCCAAGGCACAAAAAAGAATAGCTTGCCATGTTTAGACACTCCAACCAATCGAAAATTAATATAAATGCCAAATTGTAGAATTTATATATGAAGATAATAGTTTTTCTCATTTAAATACGAAGTATTAGAAAATGAACCACTAGCTGAGTTGAATAGAAATGAGGAGACAGAAATATTTCTATCTTTTATTAAAATAAGCTAAAGAATATATTCAGGTTAAATTATATATACAAATATAAAGTTACCAAAGTATTTAATTGTAAATGTGGTTTTTCTAAATATCTTAAACTAAATTTTTAAAAATACTATATTATTTATATTTAACATAATACAACTAAAACTGCTTTGTAGTGAACGGTTTCACTACATTAGCATAATTACCATTATGCTAATGACCAAATACTAATTAACATATAGCTACAATTTCAAGTGAGTTGAGGTACACCTGCTGCTATACAAATATGTTCTAAAAGCACAAGTAGACACAGAGCATCTTCAACGTGATGATATTTAGATATATGGTCACTGAGTAGTGTTCACGACAGAAAAATTTTAACTTTAAAAATGCAAACTATTTATATACCTGTTGGGTAGCATTACCATTTTTGAGCTTGAGTAAATCACATGTGTAACTAAAAAGTTGACTGAGCCCAAGTCTTTGTTGCTAAAATATAAAATGTGTGTAGTTCAAATTTATTTGTAGAATTTTATTAAGTTATCCTTTACTAAAACTACTAAAATTTTGCTAAATGATCTTTGCTTTGATGGATATCTTCATATTTTAGAGTATATGTGTCATTTCCAAGCTAAGTAGAGTTAGATTAAAACATCAAAGAATGAGTACATATTACTCTGCATTTTAAAAGCACACCTATTTTATTTATATTAACTAAAACATAGTGATAATTAGCTTCAAAATACACTTTCCTTATAAAGTTTAACCTCTGTTAGTTGTCTGTAAACTACTACTTTTATTTAATGGCAAGTGTGCAGAAAGTTCTATAAACTACTATTGATAGAGCTAGAAGGGTGTGGTCGTGAGTATGTGTTTGTGTGAGCATGAAAGAAAGTAAGCAGGAGGGAAAGAAGAGAGAGAAAGGTAACTCCTAGCTCCTGGCTAGATCATAAACACTAAAAATTTATCCTGGAATTATTAATAAAAAACAATCTCTAGAAAGCCTCTTCTAGCAGGAGATATGACCAAGGTGCAAACACTATGTGCTACAGAGAGTCACAGAAGTTTACAGCTAAAGGGGAAGCTTAAACTCATCTAGCTTAACTACTCTCTCATTTTACAAATTACAAAATGAAGGCACAGAAAAGTTACACGCTGGGCTAAGGCTACACAAAGAGTTGCAAGCCTGGCCTAGAACCTAGTTGTAATTTCCAGACCAAATGATCTTTCTATTATTCTCTAACTACCGCTCTTACAGTCATTTAGTCTTTTACTAAAACTAGAAAGAAGCTGTTAATGATATTCTTAGAAAATAAACACATATCCAGAACATTAATTGGCTTGTGAGTGGCATTTTATTTTTAAGTCCTAACTACATGCATTCAAAATCTGTATACTTACGTTGAAGCTGATACTTAAGCCTGACTCACCAGTTTTTTCAAGATATTACTATTGTGGAATTTTAGGATCATTCCTTTCTGATGGTACTTCTTAAATCTTTAAACATTTATTTTTTTGAGAATTCTGTGCCACTTAAGTTGTTTCAAAACCTGCGTTAGAAATCATTAGTAGTGACAAATGACTAAGACAGTACCAACTTTTTGAAAAATTGTAATTCTATGGCAAGTAAGCTAGCAGAGCAAAAAAATCTTTAGAACTAAAAAAAAAAAGTTTCAAAATAACTTTAATTTTTTTATGTCTTGTAATTTGGGAAACCTGCAAAAGCAATGAAGAACAGTGATATACCTAATTTAGAAGAAAGCAAATCTACTTTCTGTTTCAACTCTTCATTCCTTGAGAGCTTAGTTTTTACCCTTTATAATCATCTCTGTAATCCCAAGGATTCAAAAGCCTCTGGGACACAACTTTTTAATGATTCAGTCTAGTTAAAATTATCTTCAAAAAGTGATGTCCTTAAAGGGCTTTGTGGTTGAGGCAAGCTGGAACAATTACATTCAAATATCACCAGGAGTGAAACACAGACCAAAGACAGTCTCCAAGCACACCCGCTCCCTGAGAGAGGTCTGAATAAATGGCCTTTTCTATGGGGAGCTCCAAGAACAGGTAAAGTCTATATTTTTAATGGTCTGAAAATACTCAGCAAAACTAACAAACAAAAAAACTGTTTGGAGACTCTCAGGTACAGGAGCATGGAAAGTTTGAGGAAGCCACCGTGGGAAGAGGTCGTGAGGAGGTGGAGCACAGAGGAGCACTTGAGTGGCGTCCACTCCCCATGCTGCTGCAGAGTTTGAACAGCATCAGGAAAGAACTATTAATACAGAAATAAATTACAAGGCTTGAAAGTTAGCAGACGAGGCAAGACCCAGGTGATCGAGAGTCCAAAAAAACACATGCTTATGGAATCAAGTGGGCTTCTGTGAAGAGCTTGGGGAAAGACTCTTTGGCTAAAGATACATGTTACAAAAGTCATGACATAATTTGGGTACTAGATGCTGAAGTGCAAGTGTCTTCCATGGGGCTGAGAAGTGCAAAGAATTGTGTGCAGTACAGAGCTGAGAGATCTGCACTTGAAACAGAAAAGAACTGCAGCTTCAGATTTGTGCCCTTGAGCGGTAACAGGCAGCAGCAGCGCTAGGTGGCCTGGGTCAAACAGGCAAATGTCATCAGAAGATTATTTTTTCTTTGTGGTCATATGGCTGCATTAGAACATTTTTCTAAGCACTAAATGTTTTCCCCTCTCCCCTCCCCAGTGATAGCTAAATGATGGTTTTGTCGGAGGAAAAATAATGAAAAAGAGAAATGGTGGGTTGAATTAATTTTTAAATGTAAACAAAAACAAGGGAAGATAGTTACCCTACCAGCCCCTGCCGAAAACTCCGTTGTTGTCTGAAGCATAATTGCAAGCAAAATGGGTAATGGAGTCATGTGTTGTCTTCTTATTTTCTGAACCCATACGTATGATGTGGACATATATATATATACATATATATACATGTATGTGATATATATATAGGTATATATATGAAAATACATATGAGCTGTAGAAGCAGAAGTAGTTTGGTAATAAGAAGGCTTAAAAGAAAAAAAAACTATGAAAACTAAAAATAAATCTTTCAGCAAAGTTGCTTCTTATCTTTCATTTCCCATTTTCCTTGCACCTGTAGTATCATACTATTAAAAATGGAAGAAACATACAAATCTGAAAAGGCACATTCTTGATAACAAGATGAAAATAAAAAGGTCCGAATAGCTTATATTCACACTAAGAATGTTAATCAGCCCATTTAAAAAGTCCTTCCCATGAGCAAAGATCTATTGTTTAGATGCCATAACTGCTGACTGAATGGATGCTTCCAAATAACCGAATGAGATTCTTTGGAAGTTTACAAGTACAAAACAGACTTTTAGAGATGAACATAAGGTGTTACTATTTCCTTAATAACAATATATACTTAACTTTTGGTGCCAGATACAAAAGATTTCTGGAATAATGTGTATTTGCAAAATTTGACAACATTGCTAGACAATAATAGATAGCCCCATGCTATTATTTTAAGTGAATTCTTTCTTAGCAAACTAAAAGTACTTTCAAAGATTCTGCATCATTTTTAGATGTCTAGGATAAAAGTCATCTACTAGCGCTTCAAAATTTATAAGTGCATATTTGTAAATATATGTATATATATGTATGTATGTCAAATTTACTTGGGAAAATATCCTGAAGTAAATTCAGCTCACCTATGGAAGTGTTTTACTTTGTTTTTCTTTTTTTTTTTGTAAGAGACACAAAATGCAATTAACTGAAAGATAATCTTCCTGCCCTCATATATGTTTACAAACCAACCTGATTATTATGCACTCACTAGCTTAGGGCTGCACAAGTTCATGGAGGCTATAGATGCAAATGTTGGAAGAGAGTATTGGCAATGACCTATTTAGACAACACATAGGAGGATTAGTTCAGGTACTGAGATGATTTAGCCAGGAGGAGGAAAAGGATTAGGAACCACGATGTGGCAGAGGATAGCATTAGAGTCGGCAGCCAATTATCTGAGGTGTTACTGTCATGAGGATGGTGATTTCTTGTCGTTCGTCCACTATTTGCTAATGTATGGAATTTGTATGGAATTTTTTCTAGCTAGCTTTAAAAATAGAATCATCAATGTCTCATGAGACAGAGAAAGTAGAGTCTGCCCTGGAATCAAGGGATAAACCTAGATGACCTTTCAAGGTTCCATTCCTACATGAATATAAAAACACCAATAAAATATGAGCATTACTCAGCAGACCTGGGTACAATAAGAGTGAATTAAAATGCAGGAACATAATCTCATCCCTTAGACAGCAGCTAAGCAGGCTGTTTACTTTCACATGTGATGTGGTCAGCTGAAGCAATATGATAAATGTAAATCTTTTTCATAAGTCAAAGTACAAGCCCACAAATTCTCAATAGAAAGTGCCTTCGGAGGGGCTGCTCTGATGAAATTGAAAATGTCTCCTCCATATGTGCAGGTTTAGGCTTTATAACATTTAAAGAAAATGTTCTAAAAGATAAAGTTGGCATGTAAAAAGCACGGGGAAAGGAATCAGCAAAGATTAGAGCAAAACAATTCTGGAAGGCATCTTAATTTTCATATGGCTCATTTGCATTTGAAACACTGAGAATTCCTATCTCACTTGTACAAAAATGTGTACATATTAAATTACTTTGCACTTGAAAGAACATTTTCCTAAATGTTTGGAAGATGATCAAATTTTAACTGGAGGACTTGTTTTCTTCCATCAGGTGTGGGGGAGATGTGGCTTCCTGGTATGAGAGGCAACAGTTGATTCTAGTAGCAGAATGAGACAAAAATAAGAAAGTAAATTGAAAACAATTCCTATTTGTACAGTTTTATTTAAAGATGGTAAAACAAAAGGTTACTTATGGCACAAAGATGTCAAAAAACATCAATTTGAAATTAAGCAAATTGGTTGTTACCTTTCCAAAAAATGTGATCCTCTGATACCTAAAAATTAGGTTCTATTACTTATTCTAGGATTCTCATGGATGTACTATTATTTATTTTAATATTATTTAAGTCATTTAAATAATGTTAAAATTATTTATTTCTTCTTACTTACTTCTGAGTATCTAGCCAGTGTTTAGAAGATAGATGCCCACTAACTATTAAATAATAATTCCAGGAGTCTACACTGTACTCATCTCAAATTTTTAATAGTTAGGTTATTGGCAGAACAGGTAAGGCTTAAAACCTTTTTACTAACAACTTTAAGAAAGTTAGCCTTAAGAAAATTGCTGGTCATCTACTCAGAGATCTAGAAACTGAGATCCAGGTAGAAATTTGAACCCACAAAGTGAAACCACAATGAACAAAAAGACAGGTCTGCAATTTTTAGCTTATTTTCTGATACGGTAAATTGTCTAAGAAAGAGGTGTGTCTTTGAAAGAAAACCAGAACCTGAAAGCCACCCCTTCCTTCCTCTTGGCCTTGCTCTTTGGCCCCTCAGCTGAAGGAGGAAGCTGTTCAGCATGGCCTCGTGCTGGGTGCCAGTGGAGCCTACCACACGGAGGTGACAGCATGCAGTTTACTAAGGACCTGGAGAACACGACCTAATCTTTGTAGATGAGATTCTCTAGGTGCATGCCGCCCTTTGTGTTCCTTTTCCTTTTGCTTTTGAAGGCCTAACGTAAGTCCCTGCTCTGTATTAGTTGGGCTACAGTCACTGAAAGGGCAGCACAGCTGTCAACCCAAGCAAGAACTGGCTGTGAAGGGACAGCAGCACCCAAGCCCCTCGAGGTGAATATGGTGACAGATCCCCCAAAAGAAAGTGAGTGGGGGACCTACTGTTTGCCCTCCCAGGCTGATGGTGGGGAACCTGGTGAAGTGTTCTTAAATGGATGGTGTACTTTTACACACATTCCACACTTCCTGATTGCTGCCTTAGACTTACTTGAACACACTCTAATCTTTTTGTTAAGTGTAAGCTGCACTGGGCTTGATTTGCAAACACTTAACAGTAAAGGGCAAAATGGACTATGTAATAAAAATTTGGGCCGGGCATGGTGGCTCACACCAGTAATTCTAGAACTCTGGGAAGGCCAAGGCAAGAGTATAATTTGAGCTCAGGAGTTCGAGATCAGCCTGAGCAAGGGCGAGACCCCGTCTCTACTAAAAAAATAGAAAGAAATTAGCTGGATAACTAAAAAATATATGTATATACAAAAAAAAAAATTAGCCGGGCATGGTGGCGCATGTCTGTAGTCCCAGCTACTTGGGAGGCTGAGGCAGGAGGATTGCTTGAGCCCAGAAGTTTGAGGTTGCTGTGAGCTAGGTTGACGTCATGGGACTCTAGTCCGGGCAACAGAGTGAGACTCTGTCTCAAGAAAAATTAAAAAAAATAAAAACATTTGGATGCCCAGAGATTTTGAATACACAGAAATAATTTAACATTTCATCTTTTTGATTAGTTTGATCTTTCCCAACAAACATTTGTCTTAACAATTAAAAGGTCAGAAAAAGAAAGACCATTTTCTTCTTTTATGGAAGACATGCTAATGAGAAGATAAATGACTAAAAATCAGACTGAAAGTAGAGAGATTAAGCAAATACAAAATGTGACGATTGTCAGCTGTTAATAAATTGAAAATCACCAACTTGGTTTATTAATAAGCATGTTCATCTACTTATTTATTTTAATAATATTTATTGTGTCCCTTCTATGTGTTAGGTGTTGTTTTAGGTGCTGGGTTTATAAGGAAAGAAAAAAAAAAAAACCCAAACTAAAACAAACCTACTTCTATGGAGTTTATGTTTTAACTTCAAAGTTTTCTGAAAGCAAATGAAGGACAGTCACCTAATAAACTCCAGAATTAATGTTTGTCATATTAGTCACCATATGGTTCTGTGATATCATCCCCAAGGATGGAATTTGGTTCCCAGGTGTCTGGGTTTCATTTCTCTATATCTGGCAGAGCTTGTTCTTGGATTTAAGAAAAAGCCTGGGAAAGGCAGACTTAGGTGGCTGCTGTGGGTGAAAAGATGGAGGAGTCAAGTTTCCTTTTTTTGTACATCTGGAGGCTACAGAAAGGTACTGGAATTCCTGTGTAATGCTGGCAAAACAAACCTGTTGTAATGGGGTTTGAGTGTATGAAATTGTTATATTTTGGGTATATGATCTTGTGGGTGGTATATCCAATCAGAATACCAAAAAAAGTTGTGTACAGATTTTTAATTCAAGTGTCTTTGGAATAAGATTTTGCAACAATCTGGATATTTTGCACAATTCTATGGTTTTATTATATCAATCACCAATATTTATTAAGATAAACAAATACATCTAAACCAGCACTAAGTAAAAGTCTTGGAGTCCATCTAGTCTCCCTTTGAAAGGTAGAAAAACTAAAACAAAAACAAAAAAAATTATTTTTATAGCACTTTAACTTTTGAGTGGAGGTACCTGCTGACGTCTTCTGTTTCTTCCCTCATTACGTGCTTTTCTTTTAATTTGGTCATCTCGAAAAGAATCAAAGTAGGAGCTCTCCAGGAGTTGGGCACATGTTAATCTGTCATCTGGATTCATCTTCAGACACCCCTTTGGAAGAACAGAAAAGCAAAGAAGATATTAAGAGAGGGACTTATTTTGTTCCTGTGCCCTAAACCTGAATAATAACTTAATAGAGTAAATATGAGTTTAGAAAATTATAAGTTTGTGTATTATCAAGCACTTCAAATTTGTTCATAGCTAGAATTGCTCTTCTTTTCCCACCAAAGACATCTTCCCACCACTAGGCAATGCAAATCATTTGCAGGAGTCTTCAAAGCAACATCAGCATCACTGGGAACTTGTTAGAAATGCAAGTTATTGGATCCCACTCCACACCCACAGAATTGGATGCAAAGCACTGGATGGGGCCCAGCAGTTTGTGTTTAACAAGCCATGTGGGTGGTTCTAATACCCATGTGCTCAAGTTTGAGAACCGCTGGTTTGAGGAGATGGCTGAGGAAGTGTGAACCTCAGTACCAAGAAAGAACCTAAAACAAAGGGAAATGGAATAATTATTCATGTAAGAATACTAATGAGCGAAAAGGAAAAGGTAGCATTATGACTCTTTGTATTTGAGGCCATTGGAAGCAATTAGGCTCGGCCTCTAAGAGTGGGGAGGACCATGACAGCAGAGGGGTTAGAGTCTCAAGTTGATACTTATGGGTCTAAATCAAATAGTTGCATAACATACCTAGCTTCATCTAGAATCTTAGTAAGCCAACAGTGTCCTTTACCTTTGGAGATGAGGACAGGGAACTCATCCTGTACCTTGGAGTTTTTGTGCCCTAAAGTTGGCTTCTAAGGAGTTTTCAGGTTAGTTGGAGGAGTAACCACAGGTAGTTTCTAGCCTTCACCTGAGAAGAGGCTGGCCTGCAGTGCTTGACACCTCTCTTCTGCCTTGGAGGTTTGGCTAAATTGCAGGTGGGTGGGAATAACCTGTCAGGAACAAGGTCATGGGCCAGGCATGGTGGCTCATGCCTGTAATCCTAGCACTCTGGGAGGCTGAGGCGGGTGGATTGCTCCAGGTCATGAGTTCGAAACCAGCCTGAGGGAGACCTTGTCTCTACTAAAAATAGAAAGAAATTAATTGACCAACTAAAAATATATATACAAAAAATTATCAGGGCATGGTGGCACATGCCTGGAGTCCCAGCTACTCGGGAGGCTGAAGCAGGAGGATCACTTGAGCCCAGGAGTTTGAGTTTGCTGTGAGGACAGGACCCACAGAGTGAATCATGATAGATGGCAGCTGAGGTCAAGTGGAGCAGTGGTATAGGGAGTCTGAGAGCACAGAGGTATCAGACTCTGAGTCTCAGGAGGACTCAGACTGAAATACCTGAGGACCCAGAGAGGCAATCCAGCACTCTGGGTAGCACCACGGCAGTGACCAGCACTAGCACAAAGGCCAATCTATGGAGTTGACTGCAGGGTCATCCAAATGGCCTCACTGTCTAGATCAGATGAGTCTCAAACTAAGCTAGTTATCATAGTCACCTATGATAACAACATAGGTGTTTAAAGATACAAACGTCAAGGTCCCACTCATGGAGATTCTGCTTCTGCGAATCCAAGGCTAGATACTGAAATCGGTATTTTTAAAAAGCTCTCAGGTCACTCTGATGAGTAGTCATGTTTAGAAACCACTGCTATAGACAGAACTTGATTGTTAAAGATAGATACTTTCTCTGGTATCCTCATACTCATCCCCCAAAGGGCTTTTAGGATCCATGATAGATGGCAGGTTCACACCTTCTAGTTTGGCCTCAGTTGGTCAAGCATGAATGACAGACTGGTCATAGACAAGTTTCTTCTGCTTTCTATTAGAATTTGTCCTTTGTTTGACCATCTCTATTGGGCCTAATGCAGAGGCTAGGTTGGATGTCTGCACGGCTCTGACTTTGCCTCCTCTACTGCTAATGTTAATGGATATGTTAGGACTATTATTGCTTAAACCACTGATGTCCCTTTAGCTGTAATTATTTTATAGTTCCTTATTATTTTCAATGACTACATCCTGCTTTGGCATTATTCGCTTCACTGTCCACCTCCCAGAATTACCAGCTTCAGTCATTATAATTAGTAGTCAATAATAGTTGTAATTGATTCTTAAGTACCTTCATGAAACTCAAAGCCACGGGATGGGTATCTGAGAACTTTTCCTCAAGAGTTTCCTGAAAAAACAAAGTTAAAAATTCGACGTCACATAACAACAAAGTAACACAAATTTTAAATATATCTGTAATAGGAACACGTTGGAGAAAGATTCCCTAGTAGGTTATATAGTCCTTTTAAGGATTTTTAAAAATTATGTTTTTACATAATTTTACACTGAAAAGTCTGAAACAATAAAACTAGAGTTATTTGCTTAATTTCAAGATATCTTGCAATTGATGCTGGGTAATTGTGGGTCCCAAATGTCCCCATCTGAAATCCTACAACACAAATAATAAAATATCCAAATAGAGCAGTTTACCATGTCTTCTGGTTCAGGTATACTGATGCCACGGAAAAACTGGTTACTTTTAAAGATAGATTGATGTCTTGGGATTAGTTTTCCTGTAAAATACAAATCACGTAACTCATCATAAATTTGGCAAAGAATAATAAAGTGTTTAAATGGTTAACTTCTTAGGTGCAGGTATGAAAGAAATATTGTGCCTGACTGTTCCCTGCAGCTGGGAGGAATGGGTCCCTGCAGGCACATGCCTTCTTAGTTAGGTATGGCCAATTCTCCCAAGCAACTCTCTGCCACACGTGGTTTGGTTGCCAGTCAGCCTTCATCAAAAGACAAGGTGAGAAAATGGTGCTAGGGGCCTAGGGGCACGATCTCATCTAATCTCATAACAATCTCACCATAGTTGCCTTTTTTTTTTTTTTTTTGAGACAGAGTCTTACACTATCACCTGGGCTAGAGTGCCATGGAGTCAGCCTAGCTCACAGCAACCTCAAACTCCTGGGCTCAAGTGATCCTCTTGCCTGAGCCTCCTGATTAGCTGCGATTATAGGTGTGCACTACAACACCTGGCTAATTTTTATATATATATATATCAGTTGGCCAATTAATTTCTTTCTATTTATAGTAGAGACGGGGTCTCGCTCAGGCTGGTTTTGAACTCCTGACCTCGAGCAATCCGCCCGCCTCGGCCTCCCAAGAGCTAGGATTACAGGCGTGAGCCACAGCGCCCAGCCGAGGTTTAATATTAATAACTTGCCCAAGATCACATGGTACTAAGCAAGAGACCCAGGATTCAAACTCAGGTCTGTCTAATGCTATATTTAGGTCTGTATAATGTAAATTTCCAGAATCCTTTTAGGAAATCAATCAAACAAACAACCTACACTTTAGGTGCGGCCTGTAGTGGTACTCTACCCCACATTTTTCATGCTGCAGAATTCTGCAGAAGCATGGATTGGAACCAAACAGGGAAATGTCCAATAGTTATGCTGCCAGGAGAGCCTGTGGGAAGGAATTAGTCAACACTCATTTTTGTTTGTAAAGGTGTCACTTTCTTTGCATCCATGCTGCTGGCATGAAGCTGCCACATGATGAAGGCTCATGAAAGAAAGCCCTTGAGTCCTATTCCTATTCTGCATTTAACTGACTGTATGACTTTAGGCAAATCATGGAAGCTCCCTGAGCCTCAGTTTCCTCATTTATAAAATAGGCACAATTAAAAAAATATTATAACTTCTTTACAGGTTTTTCTTAACCCTGGAAGAGATGATATGTGTGTAAGTAATCTGTAAATTCTTAAGTTCTATGCAGAGAAGACATGTTAATATTACTTAAACTCTGGCAGCAGCTCCCCATCAAGAAGTATTATAAAATCAGACTCTTAAGCTCTAGGGCAGGGGTCTGTAAACTATGACTTGCAGGCCAAATCTGGTCCAGTTCCTGTTTTTGTACGGCCTGTGACCTAAGAATGGTTTTTATATTTTTAAGTAGATAAAAAAAAATCAAAAGAAGAATAATATTTTGCAACATGCGAAAGCCATAAGAAATTAAAATTTCAGTGTCCATAAATAAAGTTTTATTGGAATCCAGCCACATTCATTTGTTGACATATTGTGTATAGCTGCTTTTGCACTATAATAGCAGAGGTGGGGAGTTATAACAGAGGCTGTAAAGCCTGCAAAACCTAAAATATTTACCATCTGGCCTTTTATAGAAAAAATTCACTGAGCCCTGCTCTAGAATAAAGCATGGGGGGGGCACCTCTTTTACAGTGGGCAGAAATTGCATTTGATCAAATATCTCCTAGCTTATGCTCTAGGCAGCTGACTCATATCCTTATCTCTCTCTTAGCCTGATATGGAAAGTAAACATATAGTTTTTTCCATGGCTAATTGCCTTTTCTTGGAAAGGCATCTGAGAACTCACTGAGAGGAGTTATGGTTCTACATATTAAGATAAGGATTGGGCTTTGGCTACAACTCAGAACCCAGAACAACCATCAGAGTAGCGCTTTGGAGAAGCAATAAAGCTCTTGTTTTGTATTGCAACAAGATACAAATGTAATAACAATTTAGCAATTCTGGGTAAGCCACAAAATGGAATTCGTACCCAGTGTTCTGATTATCAGATAAAGTTGGTCCACATCTGATTTTCCAGGCCAGAGGGGCTGGCTTGTCAGGAGCTCTGCAAAAACACAACCGGTGGCCCATATGTCAACGGAAGAACCATACTGAGTATCTCCCACAAGGAGTTCAGGAGCTCGGTACCATCTCGTAGCAACATAATCGGTGTAGGCATCTCCTGGAACTGCAAATGCATCAGTCAGATCAGGTGATTCATATTCTCCCAACATGTGAACATGTGAACTACTCCCAAGACCAGGTGAGGCATTCAGGCAAGCTTCAATAATATCACAGGCCACAATACTCCTAACAGCTAATGCAGCGGGGCGCCAATTGGTAAACAGTCACACTGTGCATTGAGACAGTAAATTCAACTTTCTAGTGCACCTTAGCTAGTTAACATCTATGTCATTCCAAGAGGGGGGAATGAGGATTTCTGTAGTGTAACTTCAAGTCTAAACCAACTATTTTTATTTGTTTCCACATTATTATCAGCATAGTAGTGGCTATGGCATAAATTATGTCCCCTCAAAAGATAGGTTAAAGTCTTAACTCCTGGTACCTGTGAACGTGACTTTATTTGGAAACAGGGTTTTTGCAGATGTAATTAGTTAAGATGAGGTCATACTAGGATTAGGGTGGACTCTAAATCCAATGACTTCCTACAAGAAGGCCACATAGGGACAGAGAGACACAGAGAGAGAATGCCATGTGATGTCAGAGACAGAGACTGGAGTGATGCAGCTGTAAGCCCCTGAGCACCAAGTTTCCCCACAACCATCAGAAGCTAGCAGAGAGGCATGGAAGGGTCCTGCTCCAGAGGCTTCAAAGGGCACATGGCTCTGAGGAAAACTTGATTTCAGACATGTGGCCTCTAGAACAGTGAGACAGTAAATTTTTGTTGTTTTAAGCCACATAGATTGTGGTAATTTATTATGACAGCCCTAGCAAACTAATGCAGTGCTGTACAACTGCATTAGTTGCATTTTTTGGCTGGGCGCAGTGGCTCACGCCTGTAATCCTAGCACTCCGGGAGGCCGAGGTGGGAGGATCACTTGAGGTCAGGAGTTCAAGACCAGCCTGAGTAAGAGCAAGACCCCATCTTCACTAAAAACAGAAAAAGTTAGCCAGGCATGGGGGTGCACACCTGTAGTCCCAGCTACTCAGGAGGCTGAGGCAGGAGGATTGCTTGAGGCAGGAGTTTGAGGTTGCAGTGAGCTATGATGATGCCACTGTACTCTGGCTCAGATGACAGAGCAAGACACTGTCTTAAAAAAACAGAAAAAAGAAACTCTAATTTTTCTATCCAGATTTCTTACTTAGGATCCACTGACTCCTTGTGAGTCATGCATGGTGTGTGACAGGCAGATGACAGAACTGGGTGCAACCTCACTGCCCAGCCCTGCCCTACTACCACAGGTGTGGGCTGCCTGGGGCCAAGCACCTGCCTCCTGAGCGGGTGGAAGCCAATCCCACAATCAACACATGACGCTGAAGGACCAGTAACCCTACACATACATGACAGAGGAGGAACAACTGGAAACCAGCCCGGCTTGCAGAGATGAGCTAATGGACAATTCTCCTTGTAAAGGCTTCAGGCAGTCAGCATGGAACTGCCACAAAAGACAGGTCAGAAAATAGCGAGTGCAGCTCTCATCAAAAAACAATCCTCATAGGAGTGGGAAAAGGAAATGACCTTTACTTGCCCCTTGCTCTTTATAAAATTATATAAATTTTCAAATTATAAAAATTAGTAAATGCTATATAGGAAATTTGGAAAATGGAGAATAAGAAAGAAAATAATCACCACTGACAATTCTTACTGTTCACAAGTCAAGTCAGCTGTTTTACTTGTTTGGAACATCTTTTATCATAAAAGTCATATATGCCCACTATAGAGAGTATGAAAAAATAAAAGTCAGAAAGAAGAAAAATAAATCCAAGTTTTACCACCCAAAGATACCCTGTGTTAATCTTTTGGTGTATTTCATTTGAGTTTTATTTTTTTACAGCATAATTTTTTGAGTACTTTTGATCATATGGTATATATAATTTTGTGTCCTCATTTTTTCACTTAATTCTGTATGTGTACCATGTTATTATAAACTCTTCCTAAACTTGAATTTAATGGCAGCATAAGTTTGCCAAATGCCTATATCATGATTTCCTTTACCTTTCCCAAATTTTTCAATATTTTTCCATTATAAATAATACCAGATTGAAAATCTCTGCACAACACTTTTTCTCTAATTAGTATTATCCTTTAGAAAGAATTTCTAGAAGTAGAATTACTAGACTGAGATGTATGAGCATCATTTATAAAATTATTAGAGTAATTCATGTTATTTGTAGAAAACTCAAAAAATACAAAAAAAAAATAAAATAAAGAAGAAAATAAAATCACCTACCCAGACAGAAACCATGTTAACATTTTGATGTGTTTCCTTTCTTTCTCACCTTTTCTTTTTTTTTTTTTTTTGAGACAGAGTCACACTTTGTTGCACAGGCTAGAGTGAGTGCCCTGGCGTCAGCCTAGCTCACAGCAACCTCAAACTCCTGGGCTCAAGCAATCCTACTGCCTTAGCCTCCCAAGTAGCTGGGACTATAGGCATATGCCACCATGCCTGGCTAATTTTTTTCTGTATATATTAATTGGCCAATTAATTTCTTTCTATTTATAGTAGAGACGGGTCTCGATCTTGCTCAGGCTGGTTTTGAACTCCTGACCTCAAGCAATCCACCTGCCTTGGCCTCCCAGAGTGCTAGGATTACAGGCGTGAGCCACCACGCCTGGGCCTCTTTCTCACCTTTTCTTAATATGACACACCCAAACATACATAGAACTGAGGCCACTCTGTATGTACAGTTTTGTATTCTTTTTCACTTAGCCTCACGCTGTGAGCTAGAGCATTTTCTCGTGTCATTAAAATTCTTTAAAAATCCAAATTTTAATGTGTGATATTAAATCATATAAATTCTTTAGCCATTTCCTTATTTCTGAATGGTTAGGTTCCCCTGAATTTTTTTCTCAGTAATAAGTGGTCCCACAATGGACATTATCTTGTATTATTTTTTTGGGTAGTATGCCTGGGTTATGAGAGAATTAAAGGTTCAAAGCATACTTTAAAAAGTTTTTGATAAAAATTAACAAACTGTTTTCTCAAGGATTTGTTCTGAACTGTGTTTCCATTAAAAACAATTTTGTGAGCTCTGAGCGGTTATGTTTGAAAAATCTTTGCCAGCTTCATTGGAGAAGAGTAACATTTGAATGTGCATTTCTTTGCTATCAGTGGGGAGGAAGATTATTTCATGTTGTTAGCCTTTTCTTTCTTCTGTGAACTGTCAGTTAACATCTTGCTAATTTTTCTACTCAGAGCTTTTGGAGTTTTTTTTCCCTTATAATCAACATAAGCTCTTTTATATCAACCTATTAATTATCAATTTTGAAATATTCTATCCCTTGATTGCTTTAATATTTTTATCTCTGTATATATCTATATTTTTATATATACATAATTTAAGTTCCTCCTTCATATTTATATATGGTAAAATATGAAATTTGTGTATTTCATATTTTCATATGTTTATGTTTTCATTACATATGAAAACATAAAATTTACTATTTTAACCATTTTAAAATGTACAGTTCAATGGCATTAAGTACATACACAGTGTTGTGTAACCATCATCACACTCTATCTCCAGAACTCTTTCATCCTCCTAGCCTGAAACTCCATACCCATTAAACAATAATTCCCTATCCCCTCTCCCTCAGCCCGGATAACCACTACTCTTTTATCTGTCTCCATGAACTTGACTATTCTAGGTAGCTTATATAAATGGAATCGTAAGCATTTGTCCTTTTGTGTTGGCTTATTTTACTTAACTTAACATTTTCAAGGTGCATCCACATAGTAGCATGTATCAGAATTTCATTCCTTTTTAAGGTTGAATTATATTCCATTATGTGTATATACCACATTTTGTTTATCCACTCATCCTTGACAGACATTTATATTGTTTCTACCTTTTGGTTATTATGAATTATACTGCTATGAACACTGGTGTACAAATGTCTTACAGTCCTTGCTTTCAGTTCTTTTAGGTGTATACCTAGATGTTGAATTGCTGGATCATATAGTGACTCTATGTTTAATTTTTTAAATAACTGCCATACTATTTTCCACAGCAGCTACAGCATTCTACATTCTTACTAGCAATGCACGAGGGCTCTCATTTCTGCATATCCTCACCAATACTTGTTATTTTGTTGTGTATTTTTTCTAACAATAGTCATCCTAATGGGTGTGAAATGGTATCCCACTATGGTTTTAATTTACATTTCCCTAATGATGAGTTGAGCATCTTTTGATGTGTGCATTGGCCATTTTTATTTTTTCTTTCAAGAAATGTCTATTCCAGTCCTTTGCCAATTTTTAAGTTAGTTTTTGTAGTTGTTGAGTTATAGGAGTTCTTTACACATTCTGGATATTAATTCCTTAGCAGATATAAATTTGTGAATACTTTCTTCCTTTCCATGGGTTGTCTTTTCACTCTGTTTATAGTGTCCTTTGATGCCCAGCTAATTTTTCTCTATTTTTAGTTGAGACGGGGTCTCGCTCTTGTTTAGGCTGGTTTCGAACTCCTGAACTCAAACAATCCTCCTGCCTCGGCCTCTCAGAGTGCTAGGATTACAGGCATGAGCCACCGTACCCAGCCTATAGTGTCCTTTGTTGCACACAAGTTTTTAATTTTGATGAAATCCAATTTATCTATTTTTTCTTTTGTTGCTTGTGCTTTTGGCGTCACATCCAAGAAATCACTGTCAAGTCCAATGTCATGAAGCTTTCCTTCTACATTTTCTTCTATGAGTTTTATCGCTTTACCTCTTACATTTAGGTTGGATTTTTTGTATATGGTATAAGGTAAAGGTCCAGTTTCATTTGTTTGCATGTGTATATCCAGTAGGAACTTAAATTTTTATGTGATTAAGTCTATTGAGCTAATGTTAGAATTTTGGCACAGAATAGGAACCCCTCCTTTGCACTTCTTATTCTAAATGACGAACTATGACCCCAATAATGACCTAAACTAGTACTTACAACGGCTTGATCTGCAACCAATACCCGAGATTACATCTTGTGGAGCTTTTAGCCAGCACTGACAGTGTCTTGCACTGCTATTTTGCTTATAATAATATGGCAGAAGATATCATGATTGGAATTGCCACAGTGGGTTCACCATTCAGAGACTTTTGGATGTGTTCATGCAGTCATAATTTCTGAGACAGATGACCCTGCTATTGAACTCAGTTCTAAGGTTCTTCATTCAGAGAAGAATGAGGATGTTTGCTACAGAGAGACTCAGCAGGAAAGCAGAAATGCATATTCATGAAAAAATCAAACATATTTATACTTTCAGAAGAATTGCCAGTTTAAGAAGCCTTGCCAGGCCATGAAGAAAAATCCCCAAAAAGAATATTTATGAGGTAACTTTTATATGAAATGTTTCTTTTATGTTCTTGATGTTTATAATGGCATATGTGTGTTTTTTTTCAGTTATTTTTATGAGCAAATTGGGTATTTTTGTGAGCAAATTGGGTGTTTTTGCAGTATAAAATAGATTTCCAGGAAAAAACCCCAAATCTATGACACTGCATCTTGTACAATGTATTATATGACCATTACCCACTTAATTTCCTAAGTTTGGGATCATATGTATACTAGTAATATTTTTTCTACTTATTTCCTTTTTTTGCTTTGGCAATTATTCTTTTTTCTTTTTTTGTATTTCCTATATAGTTGAGATCATACTATAAACATAAGTTTTAGCTTTCCTTTTTCACTTATCACATCTTAAACATTTCCTGATACCACTGAAAACTCCATAAACATCACCGCTAATGGCTGCCTGGCATTTCATGATATGGATATCCCACAGTACTAAGTGCAGTCCAGTGTTCATAGCTCCATAGTCTTCCAGTGTTTGTCTGTTTCTCTTTTTAGCCGCATGGCACAGGGACCAATTATCATTAGAGTTCACTTTTTTTTCTTTACTTTTTTAAATTTTTGAGACAGACTCTTGCTTTGTTGCCTAGGCTAAAGTATCATGGCATCAGCCTAGCTCACAGCAACCTCAAACTCGTGGGCTCAAGCAATCTTCCTACCTCAGTCTGTAGCTGGGACTACAGACTGCACCACCACACCTGGCTATTTTTTTCTATTTTTAGTAGAGATGGGGTCTTACTGTTGCTCAGGCTGGTCTCCAATTCCTGACCTCATGTGATCCTCCTGTCTCAGCCTCCCAGAGTGCTAGGATTACAGGAGTGAGCCACCACGCCTGGCCAAGAGTCCAATTTTCTTACATGCAAAGCACAGCAACCTCAGAAAGCTTTGATCAGTTTTTGCTTTTGCCTAACCCTAATAAACGCATTGCCAAGTCACCTGTGTTTGGGTCCTATCAGGATACTGATTACGTCCACACCCGTATTGCAAGATGTATGCTGCTAATACATGTGTTATGCCTGCTGTAAAGCTCTAGATTGAGGGAAATCAATTATTTGTCCCTCCCTTTCCCTTCAGTTCCTCTCTGCCTGGGAAGATTTCCTTTTTCTTAGCACTGTCTCTGCATCCATCTCTAATTGTCAGTGTACTCTTCTAGTCTCACCAGCTCCATGAAGTTTTTTTCATCCACTCTCGCCCACATTAATATTTCCCTCCAGGGAACCATCTGCACCTTCACTTTAGTACTTTATTGCCAATCATCTTGTATCATTCTTTGTTTCTTTCACTTTAGATTATAAATGCATGAAGAGCAGAAATGCTCTTATAATTCTTTTCCTCTCCTATGGGGCAAAGCACATAAAGGTGACATCCAATAAATTCTAGCTGAAAGGAGCAGAGTTGAAATGCAAACTAATGTACTAAAAGGCTAAAGTGGTATTTTCCTTTCTGAATAACTGTAATACAACATTGAGCACATGTTCAATATCTAAAGTAAGAATTGAAACTATGTCATTTTATAATCATTTGAATTGGAAAGACAGTAAGAAATTGCTACTTACTTAGAATTCGTGCAAACCCAAAGTCACAGATCTTGATTATTCCTTGCTTAGTTATCAGAATATTTTCAGGTTTTACGTCTCTGTGAATACACTGTAAGATAATATTTGATTATTTTTCTGAGCCATCAAAGTGACAAAGAATAACATTAACAATTAGTTTGAACATGGATAAACAGCCTCTGAGATAAAAACAAACATGAGTTTCCTTCATTTTTCTAAAAGAATTTAAATTGCCAATTTTCACTTATAAATCTTATACTAAAATTAAAAAAATATACATGTGTTGCTATATTATTGAAGAAATTAAAATCATAATTGTTGCATATGAAAACTGTGCCTGGCTTGTTTTTTTTTTAAAGAAGTGAGTATCATGTAATTATTTCTTTCAATTTTTACTGGGCCCTATTTAAACTATAAGAGGTAAAACCCTAAATGAGATTAAAATCAGTGTACTTCTAGTAAGAACTGCTGCCACTTGAGAATCACAACTCAGGTTGAAAAACTATTGCAGATTTGAAAATTGAAAAACATTTAAATGATAACAAGATCCAAAATTCACTTATAATTAGAATGACCATATTATTTATCATCCAAATCAAGCCACTTTCAAGAGTGAAAGGGAGCCCAGTTAATAACCAAACCAGAACTGTCCTGAATATGCTGGGACGTATAGTCACCTACTTATCAGAGACTCCAAAGCATTCTGCACCAGGGGATGAGGATCACTTTGGTTTCCTCAACAATGACCTGGGCTGGAATGATCAGGAGCCCTTCTGAGATGTCCCCATAGTGCTGTCAGGGTCTCTCCTGGGAGAGCAAGGCCCCGCTATGAGGGGCTCTCATCTTGAGGAAGCTCCTTCTCTCCTCTTCTAGGTGGAGGCCTTACAATTTGCTGCATCACCATAATGACCCCAAATGAAGCAGATGCTGCTCACTGGACATGAGAGAGCCAAGCTGGGGGCCGACTAAGCTCACGCGTCATGATTCCAGAAATGGTTTTCCACGTGTGGATGTGCTGTGAGTAAAGAACCCCGGCCCTACTCTTTAGAACTCTATCTTTCCAGTTTATCCACCTTCCCAAAAAAGAAAATGGATACTGATCTTCTATAACTGGGACCTCCCACAGAACTGCGGACTTCTCAAAACACTTTCACTTGAATTATTTCATCCTCGCCACAATCCTGTGATTGCAGGTGGCTACTGACAGAGTCCATGAATTAAGTGTCACAATAATCATCCCCTTCTGCCTCACTTCTCTGTCACGCTGTCAGGCCCTTTAGGTATTCCTGTCAAATTGACAGTTGTGAAATAATTTTCTTTGCTTCTATAATAGCTATCTAGGAAGCAAAAAAGCTGAACCCTAAATTCATTCTATGTCACAAAAATGGTACTGGTAACAGAACTATGTAGTCTTAGTCACTGTCCACTGTTTCATAATTTATCTGAAGAACAGAAGAAACTTTTTTAGGTCCCTTAAGTTCTAAGGCCTTAGATACTAATTTAAAACAACACATTGTTGGAATATAAACCAATGCAGTTTTGATATCCTACCTTTTAAGCAACATATTAATGAAACTTAGACTAACCCTCTGAGCCAGTAACTCACTTAAAATAGTTGGGTGATTTCATTATTTCATTTTATACATCCCTCAAATGAGTCTGCATCAAATTCTAAAATTCCTAGACTACGTATGGCATTACAAAGCAAATGACTTTGCACTGATATTTGTCTGTTGGCCTATTTAAATATTTTTTTGGATCAAATGCAAATCCATGTGAAAATTGCAACACTTATTTTTCAACAAAAATATACAAAGGCAAATGAGACAGAGACTGGGACAGCATTCACTTTCTCCACGGCAAGGTCACACTCACTGGAAACTCTCTGCAATGCCTTTTGCAATCAGCTTCCACCAAAGAACAAGAAACATGCAAGTCTCTGTTAACAGAAGAATTTTAATAAACTGTTAAATAAACTTGAGTTTTATACACAGCTTTTAGCAAACATTGCTCAGGTTGGGTTATTGCGGCTGATGTTCAATCTCATTTTTATTGGCTCACAAGCCAGCAAGAAGAGGTATCCATGGTATTTTAAATCTGGCTTTCAACTTTAAGAATCATATCTGTTACACACCAATGACAGAACAAGGTAGAAAGAAATAAATTAAAAAAAAAAAAAAGAATCTCTGGAAACTTTCACACCAAAAATTGCTTCTTATGTAGCCCAATTGTACAATAAGTAGTTTTCTATTGTCTGAGAAGGTTGTTTTCATTGACATGAAAACAATAGTGATGGATGTTCATATGGCAAAGAGAGAGAAAAGAGACCCCCTTTGACAACCAAAACATGAATATCAACGAGATGCTGATGGATGTCACAGCCTGACAGATCTCAGAAATTACTGTAGTTTTGCCTTTTTGAGTTGAAGCTCTTTTTCTCTAATAACACATCAAATATATAAAAATCCATGCATTTTTCATAATGATGTTAAGTGGATCACTTTAGTTACCTCACTCTAGCAATGTTATAGGGTAAAATAGAACAAAACGACTAGGTATTTTCTTAAGTTCAGTGCTTCTCAAAATTTAATGTGCACACAAATCACCTGGTGCTCTTATTAAAATGCAGATTCAGATTCAGTAGATTGGGAGAAGGCTGAGAGTGTGCATTTCTAACAAGTTCCCGCATGATCTCTGGGCACCACACTTTGTGTAGCAAGGCCTTAACCTCTTACTACTTTAGCCTTCATTATCCTGCTTAGGATCACGACTCCGGAGACAATAAGGTGCACATGGTCTCCACAGGCTGAGAGATGTGCGTCTGCAGCAACGCCATGGGTAAGACTGCCTTTTCTATGCCTTGGGAGTGTCAGAAGGGTCCTTTTAAAAATAAGCAGAGTATAAAGGTTTTAGACTTTTTATTGTAACAGATTATACATGGCAGATTTTTTCCTTTGTATGCATTTTGTTTTTATTTATTTATTTATTTATTTGAGACAGGGTCTCGCTCTGTCGCCTGGGCTTGAGTGCAGTGGCATCATCGTAGCTCACTGCAACCTCTAACTCCTGGGTTCAAGTGATCCTCCTGCCTCAGCCTCCCAAGCAGCTAGGAATACAAGGGTATGCCACCATGCCTGGCTAATTTTTCTATTTTTTGTAGAGACGGGGTCTTGCTCTTACTCAGGCTGGTCTTGAATTCCTGACCTTGAGCGATCCTCCCGCCTCGGCCTCCCAGAGTGCTAGGATTACAGGCATGAACCACAGTGCCCAGTCTGTATGCATTTTAATTATTGATAAAATATAAGATAGATACACAAAGGCTTATCACAGCATAAGAAAATGAGATAACCAGAGTTCAGAAGTCATTTCCCTCTTTGAGGAGGGATGTTGGTCTAAAAAATTATCCATTTTTAATAGAGGACACAGATTATTAATGGGATATTTTCAACATTTTAATGCTTAATATATAGAATGTGTTGTTCTAAGCAGTGAAATGATGGCAATTGCTTTGAGCTACAATAATGTTTGGGTCTTCTGGAAATAGTAAGTCACTAGCAGGTTGAACACTGATTGAATGATTCATTCATCCATCCATCCATCCATCTAGTTATTTAGTAAATATTTAGTGAGCAGCTCTTACATTAAAAGATCCAATCTAGGCATTAAAGAGATACAAAGATAAAGCAACCACAGACATTGCATTCAAGCTTGTAGCCTAGCACACAGGAAAGTGTCTGGTTATATAGGAATAAAGTATAAACACTATGGTAAATAGTATTTTTAGAAAACCATTTTAACTGTCTCTAAAATTCCTGCAGCAATTTGATCCCCCCTCTGGCATGGTGGAAATCAACATAGTTAGGGATTCAAATCGGCATCATCTTTATTACGTATCTGAAAGTGCAATTTGCCTCATGAAAAATAGGTTTATATATTGTATGAACAATATCCTTCCATATTAATAGAAATAAAAGCTTTTGGTTTAATCTAATAAAAACTTCACCGATTTTCTTAAATATAAAGAAAGTATTGAAATTTATTTCCTCTAAGTATTGAAATTTATTTCCATGGTCTTATAATTTCTTTTTCAGCAATCCTAGACTACTGTGGTACTAGGCATTCTGCTGGCATCTAAACTGACCATATGGTTCTCTGTATCATTGCCTCAGCACTGTCTCTGTCCAGGCACCAACTCAAAGGTCGAGAGATATTTTTAAAAATATATCTTTATAGCAAAAGTACTAAGGAGCAACTTGAAGAAGGTCTCATTGGCCTAAGATAGGACAACTTGAGCATCAGAGAGAATTGCAAAGGACTGAAAACTTCACATAATACAAAAATCCATGTTTATAATGGTGCCCCACTTGTCCCGCCAAGTTCATTGTTCACCTTTGGAGGCTGCAAATATACCAACTCATCACTCTGAGTATTGACAAAAGAAATCATCACATATTTATCTTATTGTATTTTACAGTTGCCAGAGTCCATGAGGGTAAAGTTCTTTTCCATACAATTCCAATTAATAAATGCAGAAGGAATAACAGAATTAGAAAATTACTATCTTTTAATTCTAATGAAATACTAGATCCAGGGAATAATCATCACTGGATGTTAGACCATCAGGGAAAAAGGCTTGACAGGGAAATTGACAATGGAGAGGATCGAACTAATCCCTCCTGAGCCCACTAATCAATTTTAACAAGATGAAAAGTGGGATGAAGTGTAGGGCACCACACATGAAGTGCTCTTATCTAAAAAAAACTGAACTTGAATATGATCAAGCCTCTAGATATAAATTCTGATTTACAAGAAATAAGGTGAAAGGACAAGTTCAAATTATACCCAGAAACAATCAGCCAGAATTATTTCTATAACACAGTAGTATTCAGAGTGTAGCTCTTCATCCAGCAGCTTTAATATCATCTGGGAAAATAGAAATCCACATTCTCAGGCCCTACCCCAGACCGACTGAATCACAAACTCTGGGGATGGGGCCCAGCAAGCTGTGTTTTAAAAAGCCCTCTACGTGATTCTGCTGTATGCTCGAGTTTGAGAACTATGACTCTAAATATTTAATGGCCTAAAAAAAAAAAGGTAGGGGAAGTAGAATTTAAGATTGCTACAGAGCAAAAGATTGTAGAGATGTAAAAATGAAATAAGTACCATGGTGGATTATTTGCGCCATATCCTGACAAATTATTAATATTTTAACCCAATTTAAAAATAATCATAAGAGTCATCATACTGTGGCAAAAGGAAACATTATGTTTATACAAACTTTATTTCATAGGAATTAGTAATTTGATTCTTACAGAAACTGGAAAGGGGCCATGAAATGCATTGCTTTTCCTCATATTCTGTGACTTTCTTTTGTCTTGCTCCTCGGGTTCTTACTTTCCCTCTGTTCTTTAGCTCTTCAAATAGACCCCTGAGCTCTTTAGAAGAAAAGAGTTATCATGAAGAAATTAACAGATACATTAGAAAGTGTTACTTACATTATGTTTGTGACAGAAATTAAGAGCTTGAAGTGTTTGCCATAACACACTTTTGATCACTCCATCAGCTACTCTGTGGAGAAAAAAACAAGAAAAGGAAATGAAAACTCCTAGGATGGCCATGTCCAGAAGCCAGGCCTGGGGACAGAAATGAAAGGGTAGGGGCTTGTCATGGCCAAAGAACACAGTGCCGAGGTGTTTTTATAGTTATTCATTTTCTTTTGTAATTTGAAATTTTTACATCTGTAAAATGATACATGCTTATGAAAATTCAAACAATACAGAAAAGCAAAGGGATGAAAAGTGTTGACTAAAATCTTGCTACCCCAAAATAGCTGCTGTAACTTATGGTAGATGTCTCTCCAGGCATCTCTGTTCCTTTATCTCTCTCTCTTTCTCTCTGCACTTACTTTTTAACTTTAATTTTAAATAAATATATTCATATGATTCAAAATGTAAAAAGTATGAGTATATTCATGAAGTCTTCTGACACCCGCCTAGCCACCCATTTATTTTCTGCTATCCCACCCTCTGCCTCTCTGAGAAACATTTTCTGTATAGAATTGCAAATGTTGACATGTGTGCATATGTTATAGTGGCTATAGCTCCTTCTATGGATGCATCATAATTTTCTTGGTCTCCATTGATGAGCAGTTAGGTTGAGCCAATTTTTATTTCTAGAAATACTTTGATGAACATCTATAATAATCCATTTTATTGCAGTTATGTAATTTATCTTCTTAAGTTCTAGAAATGAGATTTCTGGGACCAATGGTAGGCACATATTACATTTTGATCTTACAGGGATGAACTTCAGATAGACCTGAGACCTGGTTTTGCAGGAAAAAAGGTATACTTGGAAGATGGCTCTTCAATTCATCCAGTTCATGTTGGTGGCAAATACTCAAGCATGTGCAGGAGTTATTTTGTACTAGTTACTTATACCTGGTAAGCAGGCAGGTTTACAAAGAGGAGGCCAGGGAGAAAAAAGGTCCCAACAGGATGGGAGGTATGAGCTTCTTGTTCCTGGCAAGATATTATGGGTAGGTGTATTTTCCACTGGGGAATTGGGGATCTGGGAAACTTGTATTCTATCTGAGAGTATTCTACTTTATGTAACGATCTCTGTAAATTATGGCAATTACGTTCCCTTTAACTTTTCTGTTGGTGTCTTTCCATCATTCACATCACTGTCCCATGACAATGCCTTCACATTTACATACTGCCAAACTACCCTCTCCAGGGAAGGTTATACCCATTTACACTCCTACCAAACATCTGTGCATAAAAAATCCCTATCTTCTCCTTGTCTTGCCAACATTTGGTTTTGCCAATGTTATATTTGCCAATCTGTGGTTAAAATAAAGAGATGATCTCATTTTGGTTTGTATTTACATTTCATTAATTTTTTAGCAGTTATTAATTTTCAAATGATTACTGGATACTATGTTTATTCTTTTGTGTATTTTTATTTCATAGCTTTTACAGATTTTTAAATTGATCTGTTTACTCTTACTGATTTATGAAGACTCAATGTATATCAAAGTCTGTTATATATGCTGCAAATATTTCTCTCAGTGTGTTGTCTTTCAGCCCTGTTGATGGAGATGGGGCTTTTGTTTGCATATCTTCAAAATCTGAAACACAAGGGTTTCTTTTACTAAACGTCTACTAAAAGGATTTTTCATTAAAAAATTTATAATTATGTAATATTGTAAACATATTCATCACCCAGATTTAATATTTTGTCACATTTGGACAACCAAATCTATATTTAGATCACTTTTTAAAAACTGAATGTCTGCAGATGTAGCTGGCTTTATGGAGCAGGGGGATGGCCCATGCATGACACAGTTAAGATACTAGCTACAAGATGCTACCACGTGAGGCTGAAGTGTATGTAGAGAAATAGCAACCAACGTATGGAGGTATTTTTCTGAGAGCAATTTCCTGATCTCAGATCCCAATTTTGGTGGCATACCCTTGACAACAGTGGTCAAGGGGCAACACTTTTGATGCCAGCTCTTCTAATTATTAATATTAGGAAAGTGCTTAAGCCTCAGTATTACATCCCTTTTTACTTGAAATTTCTATTTCCTGCAATGAATTCTCATATAACTTTATCCTTTTCCCCTTCACCTAGAGCCAAAACTGAAAAAACATAGCTTTTTTTTAAATAAGAGGCAGAAAGAACAGTATAGCCATTCTGAACACTGAGACAGGCTGCCAGAGTTCAAATCCCAGCTGTGCTGCTTCTTAGTTTTATAACCTTAGACACCTTATTTAAGCTCTCTGTGCCTTCAGTTTTCCTCATGTGCAAAAACAGAATAGTATCTCATAAGTTTATTGAGAAATCTATCCTCTAAATGTCTAAGTTTTAACATCTGCACGGGTTCAGGAGATGAGGGTCTGAGATCAGATGAGGCTGATAGATGGATGGGACTGAGACCCCTGTACAAAGACTGAACAGGCACAGAAAAACAAGAGGCCCTGAGGTGCGGAAGAACTGAGAGTGTGGGGAACAGTAAGGCGGCCAGTGTGCTGACACGTGGGAGAAGGTGCTGGGAAGGTTAGCAGAGGCTGATCCATGGAGGGCCTTAGAGATCCAGATATTGGAAGGAATTTGGATTATACTATAAATTCAAAGCCATTGAAAGGAATCAAGGGGCTGGGTGCAGTGGCTCATGCCTGTAATCCCAGAACTCTGGGACGCTGAGGCAGGGGGTATTGCTTGAGCTCATGAGTTCAAGACCAGCCTGGGCAATAGTGAGACCCTATCTCTATAAAATATAGAAAAATTAGCTATGGTGGCATAGCTATGGTGGCATGGTGGCATGTTCCTGTAGTCTCAGCTACCAGGGAGGCTGAGGTAGGAGGATTGGTTGAGCCCAGGAGTTTGAGGTTGCAGTGAGCTGTGATGATGCCACTGTACTCCAGCCTGGGCAACAAAGCAAGACTCAGTCTTAATAGGAAATGGTAATAAATAAATAAATAAAAAAGGGGAATCGGCCGGGCGCGGTAGCTCACGCCTGTAATCCTAGCACTCTGGGAGGCCGAGGCGGGCGGATTGCTCGAGGTCAGGAGTTCGAAACCAGCCTGAGCAAGAGCGAGACTATAAATAGAAAGAAATTAATTGGCCAACTAATACATATATAGAAAAAATTAGCTGGGCATGGTGGCACATGCCTGTAGTCCCAGCTACTTGGGAGGCTGAGGCAGGAGGATTGCTTGAGCCCAGGAGTTTGAGGTTGCTGTGAGCTAGCCTGATGCCATGGCACTCACTCTAGCCTGGGCAACAAAGTGAGACTCTGTCTCAAAAAAAAAAAAAAAAAAAGGGAAATCAAGCAAGGAAGTGACTTAATATGGTAAATAGATTTCTGAAGGCGGGACCAGCAAGGGTGTAGCACATGGTCCTATGCATGCAGGAACAGAATGCTGGACAGGACCTAAGAGACTACAGGTGCAGGGCATTAAGTACTGGAATCGGGAAACCAGGTATGGGCTAGGGTTCAGAGACTGCAGGACTATGACTACCAGCATTAATAACATGGAATCAAGCATGAAATAATTTCATAGAAAAGTCCTGAGCTATTGTGTGGAAGAGGATGTTTCAAGGCATCTGACAGGAAGTGCCATGCTCTGTTCATTTAGCTCAGATTCCAAAAAGACAGACTTCATCATGGCCAAAACAGCATCTATACAAAATATCAACTCTGCTACTTTCAGAAATTTTATAAACTAACACTCTGTGACAATTCCCTTTTTGCTTAGACCTGCTAAAGTGAATTCTGTTGTTGAATTCACTGTTGACCAATTCAGAACATGGTACCAGAAGGAGAGGTGGGAAACAAATTCAAGGCCTTGGGAATCTAGGATTGGTTATCTGATTTAATTGGGTCTAGAGGCAGTAGTATCCAATTACCATTAATGGCTGGGGTATGACCACCCAGTGATGAAACAGTTATTTAAATAATTACCCATGGTCATCTGGAATAAAATGCCTACTCAAGGCAAGGCTTTGGTGAACTGAATGTGGTGGAGCAATATGGGGGATATAAGTAATAACAGAAATGTGGGGTGATCTGGCTGCTTGTAGTTTCCCTGGAGAAATTAAAGAAAAAAAAGGACAAGTTCGGAGCTTTAATATCTTGGCTCAAGACACAGTTAGGAAATCAGGCATTTCAATGCTTGCCCTAAAAGAACCCCTTACTTCTTTGTATCTGAGGACTCACTTGGTGGATCAATTGGGACTACCATGAGATTACTCAAAAATCACACACAGAATAAACCTTCAGGGTGCTAAATGACAACATAGATTACATTTATGTGAGCATAATTAATTTCTCAATTAATTGGGAAAGAGATATACTCCAAGATTTGGAATGTGGACTGGGCACGGTGGCTCACGCCTGTAATTCTAGCACTCTGGGAAGCTGAGGCAGGTGGATCGTTCAAGGTCAGGAGTTTGAAACCAGCCTGAGCAAGAGTGAGACCTTGTCTCTACTAAAAATAGAAACAAATTAATTGGCCAACTAAAAACATATAGGAAAAAATTTAGCCAGGCATGGTGGTGCATGCCTGTAGTGCCAGCTACTCGGGAGACTGAGGCAGAAGGATCGCTTGAAGCCCAGGAGTTTGAGCTAGGCTGATGCCACAGCACTCTAGCCAGGGCAACAGAGTGAGACTCTGTCTCAAAAAAAAAAAAAAAAAAAATTATTGGAATGTGCCACTTGGGAGTATTCATATAACTAAGAGTGCCCCAACCTCCCCTTAAACCCCCGAACTTGTATGATGAGGCTGGTTCTGCCTTGTTGAGGACTCTCTAATGATCTCATCTGAGGCAGGTGAGGAGGCCAATTCTGCTCAATGCTCCTCTCCCCACCACCCCTCAAGTCTCCAACCCTTAACTAAAGTCAGATCCCAGCATGTGCCAGGGGTGTCAATTACAAAGTGAAACAGAGGAAGAGACAATTTATATAACCAAAAAAAAAAAAACAAACCCTACAAAATGTTGCTGATTTATAATGGGGAATGTATGAGAAAATGGATTTCATGAGTGGTGGACAAGAGAGGAAGAAACATGACTTTAGATTGGGCTGATTATAACAATATGGACACACTTATTAGAGATTCTGGTTTCAATAGACTACCTGGAGCATCTAAAATTGATTCCAGTTGATTGCTGAATTGGTCAATTGGAGGATGGACTAAATGGCTGCCTGTGTCAAATGCAGCTGAGATGCCAGGAATTCATTAATAAAAACAGGAGGAGGGAATCCAAAGATTGGAGGAGATAAAAGTATTGGAGAGGATTTATCATAGGCAATATGCTCATCAAGTTCCCAACTATGTCTCCCCATAATATTTAATGGTAGCACTAACCTCTGCTTCCCCCCAAATCTGTAGCATTGTTTTCAGTTTTCTATTTTGGTAAAAAGCAGCATTTCAAAAACTTCTACCAGACCCTTCTACCACCATAGCCTTCATTCCTTGGATCAGAGAGAGCCACCTGCATCTTTTTCCTTCTGCTAGTGTATTTATTTCAACTATCCATTTAGGAAATGGGGAAACATTTGGATTTGGGGGCCCACTGGAATTACCATGAGATGGATTTAAGTCAAAATTGTTATTTCTCCTAACTGTGAATTTCCCCTAATAAACAATGTCCAACAGACTTGGTATGTATGCTATCTAGTTGTTTTTCTTTGTTTGCTATTCACTAGATATATGCCTTTGAAAATACTCTCTTGACTGTTACTTAAGCAGGTTTTAGGAAGGGAGTAAAAGTAGATGAATGTTTTAAATTAATCACTGTTATCAACAAGTACACAACATTTTTATAAAAAGAGTGGCATATTCTAGATTGTTCCTATTTGCATTCCCCTATGTGGATCCAAGTCTCAGGGCTGACCCAAAGCACTGCTATATATTGGCACTGCTAAATACATTTGTAAAACTTAAAAGAGTGAAAAGTAGGGTAGTTCAGAGATGCTTGACATTGCTAAATACATATTCAACACAGGAGTTGCTTGAACATGCCTCACTCTTTCCTGTGTCTGTGCCTTCCTCCAAGATTGTCCATCTGGCCACCTCCTCCCCAGTTGCAAAGTTTCAGCCCAAATGCTGCCTTCTCTGCAGAATCTTCCCTGACTTCTCAGGGTCAACAGATGTCGAAGCTGCTCCTCTTGCATAGCCTTTGCATTAGCACTAACCCAATCAACATGACCATTTGTAGTTGTTACTTGAAATATCTGTTTCTTCATTAGATTTTAAGCTTCTTGGGGGCATGATTATGCCATTATATCTTTGTATCCTCTGTACCAATGTAAATGCTCAATATGATATTCTTTGAGTGAATGAGTAAAGAATGCTAGGCACTGAGGAGGAAGCTATTAAGATGAATTACATAAGAATGATGCCCTCAAAAAACTTACACTCTAGGGAGAGAGAGTATGCACATAAAAACAAATACAGTAGTAAGTACCAAGTACCATAACAGGGACAAAAATAAAATTCTATGGAGATTCAAAGGAGGGAAGCAATTCCACCCAGATGAAGGAATCTCAGAGATGTTAAGATCTTCTTGGATCTTGTGTTTTAAAGACTATGATAGAGAAAGGGAAAGTGAAAAGGCTAGAATATTCTAGGCTAAAGAAAGAAGAGCATGAGTTAAGACCTACAACAGGAAGCCTTAGGGTACATATAGGGAAGAGAAAGATGTGTGGCTCAAAATAAACTGGTACATGTATTGTATGTTTTAGTTTCAGGGCCTTGAACAATATGTGAAGTAAGCATAAATTTCTAACTTAATGAAAATGTATGTTAACTTATAGAATGGCTGAATACAACTATCCTCTCAGTCAACATATAACACACTATTTAGCTCATAATAAAGTTGAACTATGAATTAATGTACCATTTAATCTGTTTTTTATATTAATTTTTATTTTAAGTGTAATATGTGTACATTCACAGAATATTGGGAAAACTCAAAATAAATATTCAATTACACTTAAAATTCTACTACATTACCTCATTTTTTCATATACCATCTCAGGAACATTTACTCAGGAAATTAACTATTCTTCTACAGCATGCTTTCTAATGGATGCATATTGTACCACTGTACCATACCAAAATGCATGTAACCAATTCTTTACCATTGGAAAATTAGGTCCTGAAATTTTTGTTATAAATGCTATGTTGAACATTCATAACTGTTTGCCCCTATCTGATTATTTTCTTACTATAAATTTCTGCAAATGGAATTTCTTGGTCAAAGGATAAAAACAGTTCAAAAAATTTTTATACATTTTGTCACATTGCCCTTCTATTCTAATTACATTCTGTCTAGCTGTGAATGAGGTCTGATCCCCTACTCATAATACTGAGTATATTGATTTTTGAAAAATCTTTGCCAAATTTAATTGGTGAGAAATGATACCTTGCTTAAAAAACCTGAATTTCTTTGATTAAGGGAAGATAAACATGTTTTCATAGGTGTATTTGTCATTTCCCCTCTCTTTTTTAATGATTTGCTTTTTCAGGTCCATGGGAATGTAAGCTCCCTAAGGCCAGCCTACTTTTTGTATGTTTTGTCACTGCTGTAGCCTTAGCACCCAGCCAGGTGCATAGTGTGCATTCATAACATTTTTTTTGAACAAATTATTTTTTTTAATTGTGTGTTAATCTTTTAAAAATTTATTTGTAAAATCTACACATACAGATATGAAATTTATCAATCCTGGCAAATAGTTTACCCAATTTTCCATTTTTTTTTTGTTGTTGTTGTTTTGTTGATGGTACTTTTTTGTCAAAGGGAATCTCTATTGCGATTTAGTGTTTGGCAGTTCAAGGTCCCTTTCTCTTCTTTTTAAAAAATTTCTTGATTTAGTCTAACTTTTTCAAGTTTCAAAAAAACCCCTTGGTACTCTGATTAGAATTTTGTGTGATAAATAAATAAACTGGAGAGGCAATATCTTTATAATAATGAATATGTTCATCCAGAAATAAATGTTCATTTAAATAAAATCCTTGGATAAGTTTTATAGTTGTCTTTATGTACAATCTGAACAATTCTTTTTACCTTTAATCCTAAAAATTTTTTGTTGCAGTTAATATTTGAAGGGGATCCCTCTCCACTAGATTTTCTAAGTGCTGATTGATAAAAAAGCTGTTAATTTTTTATGTAGTGGTACAGGGGTCACTATACTGAATTTCATTTGTTTTAATAACTCTTTAGGTGATTCTCTTAAATTTTGTAGGACAATAATACCATGCAAATAAGGACAATTATATCTGACTTCCAAAAGCTATTATTTTTGTTTTTCTTAGTACATTACATTGGCTAGAGCTCTCAGAACAGTGTTAAATTATAATGGTGACAATCAACATCTTTGTCTTGTTTCTTATTTTCATGGAAGTTCCTTTAGTGTTTTATTATTGAGTATAAAACTGACTGCTGATTTCAAGGGGGTTCCATGTGTGTGTTAAGAAACTATTCTTTTAAGCCTAGTTGCTAAGGTGTTTTCAATAAAATAATCTGAACAAGATGTTGAACTTATCAACATTTCACATTTTCAAGTTTTATCAATCATATATATGTATTTATCCTTTAACTTATTAGTGAATTATATGAATAAATTTCCTAATATCAAATCATGGTTTGTTCCTTAAATTCAGATAATCCAAACTTTAATTGAGCCTCAAAATGCATCATGATCTATATTTGCAGTAGATTTGTCTTCCTAATTCTTCTAGGTAAGTCTTTATCTTCCCTTTGGGTACATCCTGACACTGGAGAGGGACTGAATGTCATACACATTACAGCAGAAAAGGGACCTGTGGCTGGGTTTGAAATTGGCCACGGTTAATTCCACATATGATGAAACTGAAAACTGGCCATACACAGCTTCAGTTTCTAGATTACTTACCCATTTGGGTTTCTTTCCAGCTCATTTAAAAGTGTATGATCACAGTATTCAAAAACTAAATGCATTTTCCTTTTTCTCCTGAACACCTCAATGAGGTTCACAAGGTTTGGGTGTTTTAATTGCTGCAAAGGAATCAAAATACAAAGTTTAGTATCTGTTTCTAGTAACAGTTTCTCCCTTACAATGTTAAGAACACAAGACCTTGCTGTGTGCATCTCTTGGGGAGAATTTTATCATAGTTACTCATAATAGAAACTGCTCTTAGTAAAGAATCATAGAACCTTAAAGTTGGAAGCAATTTAAGAATTCACCTAATGTACCTATAATAGATGGTAACTAAACTGCTTGAATTTCTCTGGTGATAGCAAATAAAGTATATAACTTAAAATATAAGCACTAAAACAAAAAATACTTTATGCATTTTATGTAGACTCTAAATATCCAAGTCATAAATTAAAACTTTAAATTAAATAAAAAATTGAGGAAATAGAATTATTGCATAAAAGACTACAAAAATCACTAACACTCTCTTAGCTTACGTATTACCAAGGATTGAATGTAAACGTTAGCTGGATTTAAACGCAGTCTGGATTCTAGTGTTGGCTCTCAGGAATACTAGATCTCAACCTTCAGATCTGATTAAACTGCCTATTCTAGGGGTCCCTACAATTAGTCTGTGTTTTAAATGTATTCATTATGTTTTCAGCTCTGTTCTTTGATTCTGTTGTTTTCTCTTATGCTTAGATGTTTGATGTGTTCTATTCCCAGACAGAAGTATTTCACAAGACAGCCTCTGTTAAATATTGTAAACCAAAGGAAAAATGCTGATCAAGTAAGATAGTCTATCACTAGAGTAACTATATGATTTTCCAATATATCCAAACCAGGGTAATAAGTATAAGCTGGGACTATCTCAGACAAACCAGCACATTGTGGTCACCCTGCCTATAACTAGGGTGACCATATGATTTAGCATACATACCAGGACACTTTAGACAGGGGATGTGAACCAGATGGGACACTGGGACAAAAACTATAAAGCAGGACTGTCCCAGGCAAACCAGGTTATATGATCACTCTTATTCATAACTCATCTTCCCTGTTGTTTTCCCAGTATAGTAGACTAACCAACTTTCCAAATCCTGAACCATTCACACAAAAAAGATAGCTAAAGAGAGAGGGCACAGTATTTTGTACATAGTAGAAGCTCCATAAATATTTTGCAGGCCCAGTAGAGCGTTTTAGGTACAGGAGTTTACATTGTATGCCTCTGCTTCAGTATCTACAAGCATGGCTTGATGAACAAAATATCACCCTACAACTGCATGCCTCCTGGTCAACAGTTAGAGAAAAGAAAATCCATTATACATTAAAAATATGCCCAGGCTGAGGAGAGAGGTGTGGAGTCTAGGTGTTCAAGATCTGCCTGGGAAGCAGCGAGAACCTGTCTCTTAAAAAAAAAAAAAGAAAAGAAATGCTAAGAGCACCAAACCAATTTGCTTTCTGGGTGCTCCACTGCCTACAAGAGCAGACAGGTGAGGAGTAGAGGAGACAGGTCATGCAGAAAGCCAGCTGCTTTGTGCTACTGCAAAACCACAGTCTGCACGTGAAGTAGAGCAAGGGATTCACAGGTGCTACCGTTCAAGGCAATGTCAAGGCTTAACCTGGTGAAATCTCCTGTCTTACTCAACAAGCCAGCAATTTATATCTTCTTTGCAAATGGAGTTAACTTAGCCCAGAAAAACAGCGACTTGCCTAAAGTAAAACAGGTAGTAAGGAGGGGAGGCAAGTTAAATGTAAATAACAGGAGTATATGGAGACAGTAAGGTCGCCTTATCATGGAAGGACCATGTTCATGACATGCATGCTGCAACACACCAAACATAGAAAAGATGTACATTCTGAGAACCATCACCAGAGACTGAGCTGAGTTGAAATCTGGCTACTTTTTTAACTTTAAATCTCATTCCAAAATTGGGGAACTTGCAATGCAGAGGTACTACCTGAGCATTAACTTTATTTGCAGACTTTGGAGGGAGAGACTGAGAGGTAAAACACCATTATTATTATTATTTTTTTTTTAGAAAACACCACTGCCTGGTTCAGACCCAGCCTGCAGCTTCTTAGCCCATTGACGGGTGCCAGAGCTGCCCGGCTTACCAGCGCCCTCTGCTGGCTAAGAGGTAAGAGTATACTTTTTTTTTTTTATCATAATGGAAGTGTTCTTACAAACAAAAATTATATTAATTAATTGATTTATTTTTAGAGACAGGATCTTGTTCTTTCACCCAGGCTGGAGCGCAGTGGCATGATCATAACTCACTGCAACCTTGAACTCCTGGCTCAGGAGATCCTCCAGCCTCAGCCTCCTAGAAATTCTAGGTTTAATTTTTCTGTCTTACATAGCCCATAGCCCTGTAGCTGGGACTACAGGCACATATGGCCAGCTAATTTTTTAATATTTTGTAGAGATAGGGCTCTTGCTGTGTTGCTCAGGCTGGTCTTGAACTGCTGGGCTCAAGTGATCCTCCCACCTCAGCCTCCCAAAGTGTTGGGATTATAGGTGTGAGCCACCTTCCTGGCCTCAAATTATATTTTAAACAAAACACTAGAATGTATCATTTGAGGAAACCTGCTGCAAATAATATTGGAAAAGGAGAGATAATATGATAATTGTTAATGATAATTATCATCCCTCTATACAAACTGAATTTCTGGTTTTTTGGTAAAAAAGAGATCACATGGCAAAAGTGAAGTTCTGGTGTGTGTCCTTGAGGAAACCACACGGTCTCATTACTTAGTGTGTGGCCCAGGAACCAGCAGCTTCTGCATTAGCCGGGTGCTTGTTAGAAATGCAAAATCTCAGGCCCACCCCAGACTTCCAGACTCAGAATCTGCATTTCCACAAGACCCCCAGGGGATTTATGCACATTAACATTTGAGAAGTGCTGCCCCAGGCCTCAGCTTCCTCTGCAATAACTGAGGGCACTGGATAAGAAGCATCTCTAAAGTCCCTGATCATTGTAAAAGTGTATGATTTTTAGGATAAGAAAAAATTTATATTGAGAATTTATGAATCTTATATGTTCAATCCTATCAGAGTAAAAACAATTATAACCAAAACCTTTATATAAAAAAAGTATACATCACTGGGTGTGGTGTGATATTCAATACATCTAGGATCCTGCCATGCTGTGCAGAAAGGGACCAATCAATGTCAGTGCCTCCCGGGGCAATGGCAGTCCAGTGGGACCCCCTGTGTCAAGAGGTGCTCTTTTAGTTGCAGGTTGGTGGGGCAAAGTGTTTTGGTGGGGGGACGTCCAGAGGAGGGTCAGGGTTTGGTGGGGAGGGCTCGGAGGCAGTATAAACACTGAGGTGCGAGGACTTAGGACAGCGTGGATATTCATCAACCAGAATGCAAGCATTTCAGTATAACAATCTACAGCTGTACTTATATGTATCAGATAAACATCAGAGTGGCCAAAGTCCAAAGTGATGATCAACTTATTTCCCAAAGTTGCTGACACAAAGGAATTTAAGTCCAATGGGAAAATAACTTTGAGTATTCTTTATAATTTTAGCACACATATATTTCACCCGATACCATATTACAGATCTATATAGAAAGTTAACTTACCTTCAACATACGTATTTCTCTTAGTGCTATTTTCTTAACAACAGGATCATCTTCAGATTCCACAAACTTTTTAATAGCTACTACTTGTCCAGAGGTTTTGTTTCTGCATTTGAATACAACCCCGTAAGACCCTTCTCCAATCTTAGCTAATTTTTCATATTTTTCCATTATGGTTGAAGTAACTTAAATTATTATATTGATTGACTTGCAGTATAATGTCACACCTGGAAAATAAGATTGACTTACCTTAATCAAGTTATAAAAGACAATGTTTTCACAGTTTATATAAAACCCATTTGCCCAGGATGTTAAAGATTTATTTCCATTGATTAACTTGAAATTCGCTTAAAAACATTTGAACGTTATTGTGTTTGTTTAGTTTAGTCCTCTGCAGTCCTTCCAGCTATCACACAGGTTTCATATATTGTTTCAGACAATGGGTCTGTGTTGTCCTCAGTTGAATTAAAAGAATTTGCAGAAAGGAAACTTATCCAATCTATTGTTTTCATCAATCTCAAGTAAATAATTCAAATATGATGCTATAAAATCCAGCTGAAGGAGGATGTCATACTCTTGAATATGGTGTTTATATTTTCCCCTCTATCCCTTGGGAATACCACAAACACTAAGAGGTGTATAACAAGACATGATGCAAAGCGCCACACCTCCACCTGGTGGAGAGAAGAAAGAGAAACCATGGGCTGTTGAACAAAGCAGCCTTTAAAAACAATAACAAGATCCTGTTAGGGCTTCATTTATTGCTCTTAGCTTTTGTGGTATGGAGGAACGGATCCATGAATTCCTAGCCCGCAAAGAAAGTAATGATAAAGCATAGAAAAGGAGGTAGGTTTCTCTAATTCTTCATGAATGCTTTCAAATACATAATGATTTCTATAGAAATTCTAGGTTTAATTTTTGTCTTACATAGCCCATTCCTGAATTTTTTGGTACCTGAATTACATATCAAATGATGAATAAGGTCAACTTGTTAAAATAAATCAGTCTAGGAATGAAAAATATAAAAATTCTAATTAGTTTCAAAAATCCCACCCTACTTTACCCAGCAAAATTTTGTTAGTATAATCTAATAATAATAAGAGCACTTAATATTGTTCTATGCAAATTATATATAATCTGCACAAATATTCTATGAAGTAGGTGTTATTTTTATCCAATTATACAGATGAGAAAACTGATATGGAATTAAAACCCAGGCAGTCAGGTTCCAAAGAACACAATTTTAATCACTACACTACACCACCTCTCAGTTAATTCAAAACAATGCACAATTTAAAAGAACCACTTTATCCAGGTCTTGATATTAATAAAATAACAAGTGAAAGAGTTGACAATTTGTACAATTTACATTTTTTAACTTCACTAATATTTAGTCTTTTCCATAGCACCTATAAAAATTACAATAGGTAAAAGTGTTTACCTGGGTAAATGACCACTAACATTATTTTACAGTGCTTTTTTTTTTTTTTAGCAGATTCTAATTCCTCTCTTATTAGAGGGAGAAAACTCAAGCGTACACACTCAAGTAACACATGGAAAATACATCACAGATTATGTTTTGAAAACTCTATTATTTATACCATATTTTTTACCTGGGTATTATTAATATTATCTTACAGGTATTTAGATATAAGCATGCACATGTTTGCCTTTCTTTACTATAGGAATAGGTGGCTGGGAAGAGAATAGGAGAAATAAAGTTTGCTTTAGAATGTTATTGGTCTAAAACTTTATAGATTTATTAATTTAATCTACTTGGTAAGTACTACAGTTACTGGGGGAAACTACAAATGTGACAAAAAGCTTAATTATGAAATTTTAATCTATGCATTATTTTCTTATTTTCCTCTAGGTAGTTGATCTATTGATCTATGCTTTTCCTTTTTCCCCAAAGGGTTCAAAAATGACTGATTTCTTAGACTAATATTTAGATCTCTCAGTGACATCAACCAAACTGCTAAATACAATGTAAATCTCTAGAAAATAGCACTTTATTTGGTAGCTTCTCAATATTATCTGTTTTCCAAAGATGTTCATAGAAGATGAATTTGAGTATGTAAGCAGGAATTAGACCAAGGCAGGAACTCCACATAGGAATTTACAGCTCTAATTCCAGTTTATTAGGACTCTACCAGAGTTTTTAAAAGCCGTAATTCCTAATCTCTTACCTGAGATCCAGACCAACTATCCAAATGTTTGATGAACAAATAAATTCATCTAAAAATTGCTACCTTCTAAACCAAATGCCTTTCTTCTTTCTTATCTTCTGTCCCTACCCAGAGTTCAGAAATGTGCTCCACATTACACCCAAATGGCTTGTCAAGGTACACATGGTGGGGGGGCTTTGAGGTGGCCAAGGATAATGACTGCTGCCTAAATCTAATCTCTTTATATATCTTCCACGAAGTGATACAAATCAACCAGAACAAATGAAATCACATAAACCCAATGCCTTCAACATAACAAGAAGACAGAGGAATCTACAAACTTAAGTAGAAAAGTGAAGCCCAGATTCTGGAAGAGATAACTCTTCAGTTCCCACTGTAATCCTTGGCCAAGAACAAAGACAAGAGTGGAGTGAGATCTAGAAAAACTGTAAGAAAGAGAGAAGAGGAAAAGAAGATCCTAAGGTAGACTTAAAATCACCTTCTCATAGAGAAAATATATCACAAATATAAAAATATGGAAAAAGTGTCCTGGTAGATTACTAATGACAGAGAAGGGACATGGGTATCAGTTAGTGTGGCACCACTCTTGGGGAATAGAAGGGTAAGCAGAAAGGGAACGGCACCTGTTGGAGACTGGACAGTGGGGGGGAAAAAGGAACAAGAGGAATAATTCTGGGCTCTTACAAGACAAAAGAGAACCCTGAATGGAGGGACATGTAAATCCTCCCATCAGTACTAAGGAACAAAAAACACCATCAATTAAAGAAACTGTACTTTGCTACAGCCGTAGAGAGGATTCTCTTGACCTAGGATAATTGTCGATTACTAACAGCTAAAACCTGCCCAAGAAATAAAAGAGAGGAAAGCAGTCTCCATACAAAGCTATCTTTTTAATTCCAGGATATTATAGGGGTATACACGTTTTGGTTACATGTTATGACTTTGCCACACAAAAACCATGATTTGAGGTGTATGTACCCTTTCCCCCTCACAATGCTAATTGAGTCCATTAGTTGTGAGTTTAGCCACCCCTAATCCCCCAATGCCCCCAAAATATTACTATTGTGTGAGCACTTTAGTGTTGTTGATCAGTTAGTGCCAATTTGATGGCAAGTATATGTGGTGCCTATTCTTCCGAGCAAGCCTAAGGAATATACTGAAAGAAAACAAAATTAAGAAAGGCAGAGGAAGAGGGAGTATAAAAAAAAAGAGAAAAATCACATTAATTTTCTAATCTAAAAGGTTCTAAGAAACTTGTGCAAACAGTGGCTTTAGGAATAAGGAAGGAAAGGAGAGATTTTGAAGACCAGGCCAGACCAGTTTGGGATCCTATAGGCTAAAAATCACAACCTGCTATGTTGTTGATCTTACTGTTTCCAATGAAAACAAATGTGAAATTATATTTAATAAAACTGATTAGGAAAATGGGCTATTAAATCATCCTGGTATGGCTGTTAAACATAATACTGACCAACGAATTTCAAAAGTACACACACCTACTTATAAACTTGTCTTGGGAACAACACACTCGGATTAATTAAAAGCATCCCCAGAAAACCAGAAGACCACATAATTTACATAATAGAAGGAACTAATTTTATTTAAATAGATCACATTTCAGGCGTGCAGATAACAGATCTGGAAGTTAGGCATAATTCACTTTATTTCCAGGACTCTAGACTCGAGCCTTCATTTAAGGACAGTCCCCCTTCTTGGCCACACGTGGGTCTCCGGGCGCGCAGTGCGCCCCTCGCTCCCTCCCGCGTCCCATCGCCGCCCCCCCCCCCCCCCCCCCCCCCCCCCCCCCCCCCCCCCCGCCACCGGGCCTCACCTCCCTCCAGACCCTAGTGCTCCGCACTGGGTCGGCCGTGCGCTGGCGGGAGCCACCTGTCACCTCTAGCCCCTCGCCCCCACCTCTCTGTGCCTTCCCGGGGCCACTCCTGGTTCCCCATCAGGGAGCCTCCATCCGGACCCCACCTCTCCCTCCGTCACTGCCGCCCCGCCCCGCGCCGGCCCCGTCCCGCCCTCCCGCACCCTTCGCGGGATCCGCACTTACGGCACGGACGGGGGCGACGGGGGCGGAGGTGACGCAGTCTCCAGCAGGCCGGAGCACCCGGCAGCCGCGCGGGTCGCTCGCAGCGGGCAGCAGCGGGCCCAGCAACTCCGGCGCGAGCGGAACCGCCGCGGCGTCTCCCGGGCAACCGGACGCTCGGGCCGCTGGGGCAGGGCGGCTTCCGGAGCGGGTCCCCGGGCGCCCGCAGCGCGGCTCCACCACGCGGTGGCGCCCTCTGGGACCAGCCTGGAAACGTCCGGGTGTGGGCGCGGCCAGATGCGTGAAGGCGCTCAGGAAACGCTTAGCTGTAATCACCAAGTCCCGTTCCTGCCCGAGGCATCAAGAACACTAACATTAAGCGCGCGTAATAAATGTGAATACTGATTAATCCGATTCCCGGCCGGGGCAGAACCGTCAGTCTGCAAGATCCTGTCTAATGTCTTTATTCTTCAGTCTTGCCTTATTATCCAAACAGCTTTTCAGCAAACTTCTGTAGGCTTTTCTATGAAAAGCAGCTATAAATTCGGTGCTATTCATTGAGGCCATTTCAATAATTCAGCGAGCATCTGGGGCTCATTCAGAATCAGACACAGGTTTGACAGCCAGTGGGGAAGAAAGTCAAGCAAACAGTAATGTGATGAATGCTATATAGAGGTAAATGTATTAACCCTGGGAAAGAAAATTTTTATTTCCAGGATTAACTTAAAATACTAACTATATGCTATAAAGCACATAGGTACTATGTCTTAGCATCAAAGAAAGCTCCCCATCCTGGCCAAATTTAGGATGTTCACACTTCCCTTCTTCACTTACAGTTGACTTTCCTCCCATTTTCTCATTCATCTCTTAATTCTTCTCGATTTTCATTTGCTTAGAAATATTCTCAAACCTCTTAAGTTGAGCAAACAAAATCAAACCAGAAACCACTTTTATGCCCTTCCTCCTTCAAGACCAAACACACTTCTGTTCAACTCAAATCTACTCATAAACTCACATCTACCTATTTCTATGATTTCTGCCTTCCTCATGCGATAGAACATTTTCTCATTAAGTACACAAGTGATCACCATTAGCCCATTTTCATCTTTATGACCCTTAATCTGCAGTTTCTGAAACTGTTGACTCCTAGCTTTTCTCATGAAGAAGCTCTTCACAATCAGTCCCGTCTCTGTTCTCCAGCTTCATGCCCGATTGCTGTGTTCCATGCACCCTCAGCTCTGCTCATCACTATTCCGCAAACATGCAGTATTTTTGCACATGCTTTTGTCTAAGCCACAGCTTCCTACCCTACTTTCTTCCTACACGTGATAAACTCCTCTATGAACTACCTGGTTTACACATACTACACAGGGTTTTCTCTTTCCCAAAGCAGAATTAGGCACGTTTTGTACCTCTTTTTAATACTAAACGACTGTTTACCTTTATTCATCCAAGTGTGCTCCTTGGATGAATACTGGCCTGGGAATCATGCCTTTTCCATCTTTTCTCCAGTGCCAGGATAAACTGTAAATGATCAATACATGCTGTTAATACAACTGTCTTACAAAAGTAAAAAAAAAAATGTTTGTTACAAAGACTTTTCTTTTTTTGAGACAAGGTCTTGCTCTGTTGCTGGGGCTGGAGTAGAGTGGCGTCAGCCTAGCTCATAGCAACCTCAAACTCCTGGGCTCAAGTGATCCTTCTGAGTAGCTGGGACTACAGGCATGTAGTACTCCACGCCTGTCTTCCTGTCTCAAAAAAACAAAACAAAACAAAACAAAACAAAACACCAACCAAAACAAAATAAAAAACCACTTTGTATAAGAAAAATGCTTTTTGGCAAGACAGGAAAAGTATTAATAATTTGTCTTATAGCAAAGGGACAGTAAAAATCAGAATTTGAAATCCAACAGCTGGAAAAAAAAGTATCTAATTTCACAGGGAAAATGCTAGAGTGTATTTTAGTGGGCAGTGAATATACTGCATGTATTCTATCATGTAATAGTCTAGCAATGGTTAAAAGAATATACTTTGAACCAAGTGCCTAGGTTCAAATCTCAGCTCTATCACTTACCAGCTATAGTCTTGGGCAAGTTATTTAAGCTTTCTGTGCCTAAGTTACTTCATCTGTAAAATGGAGTTAACACCTAAGTCATTGGGTGTTCTAGGGTTTAAGTGGTATGTGTAGTCTGTAGAAAAGTACTGGACATGATATATGCATCGGGAACTTATTATAAATACCCTTTTGGTGTTTACCCATTATTTTTTATGGCACATACTTTCACCTATCAGTAATGGTGAAAGCTGATATAATCTGTCCTTTATATTCTGGTCTTTGCTGTAATCAGAGACACACTTGAAAGGTGAATGATGGCAACAACTATGTAAACAACTGATCACATTCTTCTCAAAAATGTCTATGCAATTAGCTAAGATAGTGTGAACTTTAATGAAGACCAAACAGATTGTTTCTAACATTTAAGGGAGTGACTTTCTTCCTTTTGAGTGTATAAAGATCCAGAAGTTCTTGGGTGGAGCCTTGAAATTTTCTTTTCTTTCTTGAGATTGGGTTTTAACTCTGTTGCCCTGACTAGAGTGTGGTGGTATCATCATAGCTCACAGCAACCTCAAACTCCTGGGCTCAAGTGATCTGCCTGCCTCAGCCTCCCCAGCAACTGGGACTACAGGCATGTGCCACCATTCCTGGCTAATTTTTTTCTATGTTTTAGTAGAGATGGGGTCTTGCCCTTTCCCAGGCTGGACTTGATCTCCTGCCTCAGCCTCCCTGAGTGCTGGGATTACAGGTGTTGAGCCCCCACAATCAGCCTGAAATATGCATATTTAACTCTCATCAAAGATAGTTCTAGGCCAGGCGCGGTGGCTTACGCCTGTAATCCTAGCACTCTGGGAGGCTGAGGCCAGCGGATTGCTCCAGGTCAGGAGTTTGAAACCAGCCTGAGCAAGAATGAGACCCCGTCTCTACTATAAATAGAAATAAATTAATTGGCCAACTAAAATATATAGAACAAATTAGCCGGGCATGGTGGCGCATGCCTGTAGTCCCAGCTACTCAGGAGGCTGAGGCAGAAAGATTGCTTGAGCCCAGGAGTTTGAGGTTGCTGTGAGCTAAGCTGATGCCATGGCACTCACACTAGCCTGGGCAACAAAGTGAGACTCTGTCTCAAAAAAAAAAAAAAAAGATGGTTCTGAGGCAGGTAATCCTTGGACATAACTTGGAAACACTGATTTAAATTTAATGCCCACCAGTGGTTCTCAGGCTGGGCTACAAATCAGAATCATTTATATAACTTCGTAAAAATATGTTATTGGACCTCACCCCAGAGTATGACTCCAGGGTTATTTCAAAAAAGCCCCTTGGTAATGCACAACCAGCTGGATATTTTATTTTTTGAAAATGAGTGCTTGACAGAAATGTGACAATTAACATTTTTGAGATATGACCCTTTATATAACTTTACAGGTCTTGGAAACTGGAAAAAAAAATAGTTGTCTAGAAAAAGAATTAACAACTAATATGAGCCAAGAACAGAATCTTAATTTTTTGAAAATCTTTTCCATGAGTCTGTTTTTCAGCAAACTGACCATAATGTTATACTGTATCAAGATGTGTTTTAAAATATAGTCATTAGTCATTAATGTTAAGATTGTATTTGGGAAAAGTGATAAATGAACACAATTGTTATGATTATTAGCATTTGTATGATTTTAGACATGGAAACTATTTTAGTCAAGGCAATTATTCAAGGCACTGGGACAGGACATGGCATAAGCAATAGTAGAAATAGTGCCTCTTGTCCCCAATCTAGTTCTTCCCACTTAATCTTCCCCTTCCTTACCTCAAGAACTGCATTTCCCAACACTTTCTCTTCCTTCCTCTGACCCAGGCATTGTCAATTTTTTTCCGTAAAGGGTCAAGACAGTAAACATTTTAGGCGTTTTGGAAACCACTCAACTCCAACACTGTAGCACAAAAGCAGTCACAGACAACATGCAAATGAATGCGGTGCTGTGTCTCAATAAAACTTTATTTATAAAAACAGGCAGCAGGTTGGACTGGGCTGAGGATTGTAGTTTGCTGACCCCTGCTCTAACCAAAAAACTATGAATGTTTAATGACTTTTCTGATCAGAAAGTTGAAAATTCTACAAAACATGCCCTTTTCTCAAATGGGGGAATAGTATTACTACGTCATGAAATTGAGATCAGATCAAATAAAAATCATGATTTGAGGGACCAGAACTGTGAACTTCATAATATAAATACAAAACAATTATATACAGTTCTCCCCTTAATATATTTTAGTGTTCTGTATACAGATTAAGCCAGATGACAAGCTACTATACAACAGCATGTTAAAAAACATGTTTATTTTACAATATGTACAATCAGGAACATATTTAAAACCATTATCAATTAAAATAAATGAAGACCATAAATCACAATTTAGTTTGTTCTTAGTGTATATACTCACATTAAAATATAAAGAACATATACCAAAAAGAGCCAAAAGTGTGCATTTTACTAAAACTTGGTATATACATATTCCATTGGAAAAAAGCAATCAAAAATGACTTAAAGCAAAACTAAGTTCCTGTGATGCGTAGTAACCATTATATTGTCTGTATGAGGTAGTAACTAAATTATTTTGGCCATGTGTTAATATCCTAAATCAAAAGGAATATGAAAAAGATCATAAAATAAGGTCAACAAAAGTAAAAATTCCACAAGAAATTTGAACCACTTCACTCTATGGAATGTTATAGTTCTTCAATGTGATTATATGAAATGTTTAGTGTGAACTCTTTAATGCTGCTAATTTATTCTTGTGCATACTGTAATTCAGACAACGACTGCAATGTTACATCACAGTACCGCTATTCTGTGATTCAAAATTTTTCAAAAGTATTGTTTTTAAGCACAGACAAGCAATCTTACAGGGTTCTGCTTAACTATGAAAAGACCAGTTACTACAACAGATGGTTAATTGTAGTTGGTTTGTTTCAGATAGAAAACAATCCAAATACATTTAAAAAAGATGTTGGGGAGCCAAATGCATATAGACAATGTCACAGCTTACTTTTGTGACTTAATACATCACATATCAATACTTTGTGCAAATATAAACACCAGTGTACTTGCATTAAAATTAAAAACAAGATTATAAAATGATTAAAGCCTCCATTACAATTTTAAAAGTTACAAGATTTATATTCATATTACTAAATTACATATAATAAAAATACAATAGTGTTAAATGTACTGTTTCATTGCCAGCATCCCATTTTGTAATATAACCACACCCAAGAATATACTAAAGAATTCTTAAAATATTAACCCCAATTGCATTTTCGTCAACATTTACATCTGTACAGATAAGACACTTACTTGTACATCTCATAAAAGTACATTATCTACATAAATTCTTAGTGTATGTCTTCAGCAATATGAAGTTTCACAGAAAAATACTGCCTATATGTACAAAGATTACATAACAATGAATTAAGCACTTGTGTGGTTCAATATGCTAAACATATCCATACCACTTAAAACAAAAAATTTCCCCATCTTGTCTCATGCCACAATAAATTACAAAGTAACTGAAGCCAGGTTACTGCAGCTTTTGTACAGCTTCAAGCATCCATTAATGTTGCAGCGGTAGTGTTCTTTCTTTCTATAGTTAACTGTCAAAGCACAAAATTCTCAGTAACTGTTTTCATGACCCGCCAGGATGTATAAATTGCTATTTGCTGTGGGGTTATCGGTTGGCCTACTTTCCAAAACCACGACCCTAAAAGTAATAAACAAAAAACATATAACAAAACAAAGTTATTTTTGAAAACTAACATTATCAAGAAAAACTTTCCATTGCTTTTTCACTATATGCCTCTATAAAGGCTGCTTATTTGATTTGTGGCCAAGATTCATTTGCTATTGCTATGATTACGGGGCCAGTTCTAGCTCTGGGAAGTAATTTTGCTGCCCACCACCTCCCACCTCTAAGCCAGTGTTCTTCTGAGTGTCATAGATGAGGAAAAACCTATATTAGAAATAATTTGGAGGAACTTAGTTCTTTTGGCAAATTCTAAAAATAATTTGCAGTTCAAGACTCAGAAGGTAAATTAGAATAGATCTCCAAAATCCTATTTGGCATTAAAAACAAGAAGTCCTGTTTGTCTGTATGGTATTTCTTCTTTCTTCTGCTGAAAATCAGACTTTTGATATTATGTTTAATGCAAACTAGTACTGACAGATATATAAATTCCTGTTACTCAGAAGATCAGGTACATTTGCAAATGCTTTATAGAGTACAAAATACAGTGTTCAACATATTATTGCAGAAATTCAATTCTCTTGAAAAAGAAACCAGTTTCATGCTGGACTTATAAAAATATCTAGTACTATGTATTTAATACAGCCCATTTTCATACCTGTCAGATCCAAGCAGCCTGAAAATTCTTGTGCTATCTGAAATTTCTTGTGTTACCTGTTCAGTTAAAATATAAATTAATTTCTGAAATTAAAGATACAAAATTTTACATGGGCATTTCATTATAACTCTACAGAAAAGAAACATAATTCCCTAATATGAAAGTACATCCCTGCATGATTATTTAAGTCAGCATGTAGATGCATCAATTTGTTAGTCTAAAAAAACTATGGCTAATTTTGAATTAATCACAAAATACAGGCAAAGGAAAATTACTTGTTAAATTATAGACTTCACAGGAAAAACTTAAAAGCAAGGCACTAAGTCCATTTTATTTATCAGAAACCTTTGTCATTTATGCTAACATTAATAGCAACATTACTGATAGCCATAAGCCACTTAGATATGGTTCTTTTACTTAAAAGGCTGTCATGTGGTACAATATGAAATGTTTAAAAGCCAGACATGATTTCAATTTTTTTTTTTGAGACAGAGTCTCACTTTGTTGCCCAGGCTAGAGTGAGTGCCATGGCGTCAGCCTAGCTCACAGCAACCTCACACTCCTGGGCTCAAGTAATCCTTCTGCCTCAGCCTCCCGAGTGGCTGGGACTACAGGCACGCACCACCATGCCCAGCTAATTTTTTCTATATATGTATTAGTTGGTCAATTAATTTCTTTCTATTTTTATAGTAGAGACAGGGTCTTGCTCTTGCTCAGGCTGGTTTTGAACTCAGACCTTGAGCAATCCACCCCCCTCGGCCTCCCAGAGAGCTAGGATCACAGGCATGAGCCACCGCGCGCCTGGCCTGATTTCAGTTTTAATCTCAGTCCTTCTACTTACTAGCTGTGACATTGGGCAAGATATGCAATCTGTTAAAAATGGTTCTGCCTTCTGCAAAATGGGACAGAAAAAAATCTATCCTGCAGTAGTACCTTGCTGTGTTCTTCTAAGGATTAGTGGGTATAATGCCTAGCTAAAGAAGTGCTCAATACATAATAATCTTTCCCATTTCTTCCCCATTGTCTTGCAATTTGATTTTGAAATTAAATTTATTCCATCAATATCCCCACAACTAGTTTTTCTGCAAACACTAATGATTCTTAACTTCCGTTGTAACCCAGCACACCTGAAAGAAACAACATGACGACTTCAGTAACAGAGGCTCATCGTGACAGTGGGGTCTGCCTACCAGAAGGACACAACATTTTTGGAAGTGTGTTGAAGGACTGGCCTATGTAGTTTGAGAAAGCTCCTCAGATGATTTTTCGGGCAAACTTTTTTTTCCAAATCACTCTGTTCTGCCTATAATGCCTTTTTTTCTTTGACTAGTATTTATGGGCTGTTGACTGTTCTTACCTCCCTGCTTCAGTCCCTCAGGTGATTTTAAGAAGATCTTCCTGAGAAGTCAGCCCACTTACGGGAATTATTGTTAGAAACATACTAGCAACTACCTTTCTTCAACACTCACCATATGGCAGGCACCGTGCCCAGCATATTACTTGTTCATTTCATTTCATCTTAACAACTTTCAACTCACATATGAAAAAATAGAGGTAGAGAAAAGTGACATGCCAAGGTCACACAACTCCTAACTAGCAGGGTTGAGACTTGAACCTGAATGTCTCAACTCTGGGACCCATGCCCATGATCACTATGCTATACTGCTTCCTTTGTTAGAAGAAAGGCTCTCAGCTTACTGAATGAAAATTCAGGAAACAATGAGCTATTTTCTTGCTCAAGGAACCTGAGGTTTTCCTTTCCTTTCAATGATCAAGTAAAAGTTATACTGCCAAGGTTGGCTTGGGGGTATTGGAAGAATTTTTTGATAATTTTACTTGCCCATAACATAGGGGGAAAGTACCATATCTTGTACATGTTTCTAATCCCAGAACTTTCTGCCATAAATGTTGACCTGAATTGAATATGTCACATGGCTTGGAGTCAAATTATTCCTATAAGGTAGGAAGGACTCATGAAATGCAGCTAAACATTAATAAAAAGGGAAGGAGAAAAGGGCAAAGAATCCAATAAATGTCAGTGAATACAGATAGCAGAAACGTGGGCAAGCTGGCTTCAAGAGAAATGTAGAACCCTTTAATTATAGCCTGCATTGGTCATTATTTCTGAAATACAAGGTAAAAAAGTGCCTGAGGACAGAGAGCCAGTACTACCACTCTTGTTCCAAATCCAGGCAATGGTCTGGGAAAGTTGAAAGAAAATCATAATTGGCTCATTTTTAGCAATATTAGGAAGTTCTTGTTCTGAATTTGAGGGTGATTATCTAGAAGCACATTAAATATGCACTAAAGTTGTTTGAGTAACGAAGAGAGGGGATATATAACATGTGCTACTGACTTTATCAATAGACTAAATACGGTAAATATTAATAAAGTTAAGCACATCAAGTATTACTTGCATCACTTAGGAATTTTCAAAAGTTAAAGGGGATTATTTAAATTAAAATTTGATGATGTGACTATTTAATAGCTATAATTTTAAAAAGATTACTTACCTCATTAGATCTAAAACTTCTACCTTGCATTCCATGTTTCCAGAAAGCTAGCACACTGTCTTGTAGGCAAACTAGCAGGCAAGAACAGCTCAATTACTGTTAATAGTACAAAAGTTCAACTGATAAGCATCACTTCAGTCCTCCTTCTATCTCGGATAGCAATATTTCAATTAATAACTAATGTTAGCTATTTCATATTTGTATGGCATCTTTACATTTGAAAGTTTAAAAACATATAGAGCTTATTCATCTTTTTGATATGAAAAAAGAAAATCCAATGAAAACATTTATTTTTAAAATAATTTTTAAAAATACTGCAAACACATAGAAAAACATAGAGTACAGCATAAAACACACAGGTATCTACCACTCAACTATCAAATCCTGACATTCTGCCATATTTGCTTTAAATAGAAACAAATACAGCTGGCATCTCCTATATACTCCTCCCCTAATCCCATTCCAGCCTTTTCTTCCTCTCTGAGATAACCACTATTGCCATTCTCATGTTTGTTTTTATTATTACTACATTGTAAATTTACATTATCAATATAGACTTTATATTGAATATTTCCAGCTTTCATACATTTTTTATGATGATCATTTAAGTTATTTCTTATTTAGATTTTCTTTATTACAAACAATGCTGCAAAAACATTCTTGTACATCGTCTTGAATATGCACACAAAACTTTTCCTGGGTTGGACACCCAAACATAGAATTACTGGTACACAAGGCGTAAATAAAGCAAAATTTAGTTTTGTGTATTCAGTGACAAAGAAATCTAATTTTGTTTCCTGCAGATAATCATTTGTACCAGCATCATTTGTTGAATAGTCTATCATCTCCCCACTGATAGATAATACTGTAATTCCATTTACATATGAGTCTGTTTCTGGGCCCTCTCTTCCCTTTATCCCTGTGTTGATGATACCACACTGCCTTGATTACCATGGCTTTACAGTAAGTTTCAATATTGTGTAGAACAAGTATTTGTCAACATTTATTTTACCATCCTTGGTCTTTGGCTTTTCTATATGCATTTCTTTCTTTTTTGTTTTTAATTATTATAGGTACATAATAGTTGTGTATCTTTATAGGGTACGTGTGATGTTTTGATACAGGCATACAATGTAAATTTACCAAATCAGAGTAATAGGGGTACTGTCATCTCAGGCATCTATCATTTCTTTCTGTCAGGAACATTCCAATTCCACTGTTTTAGTTATTTTGAAGTATACCCTAACTTATTGTTGATTATAGTCACTTTGTTGTGCTATCAAACATTGTTCATTTTATCTATCTAACTATATTTTCACACCTATTAACCATCCCTACCTTATCCCCCCTCCTTGCTATCCTTCCCAGCCTCTGGTAACCATCATTCTACTCTGTCTCCATGAGACCAACTGTTTTTAATATTTAGCTCCCACATAGGAGTGAGAACACATGAGATTTGTTTTTCTGTGCTAGGCTTATTTTACTTAACAATGTTCTCCAGTTCCATCCATATTGTTGCAAATGTAAGTATTTAATTCTTTTTTGTGGGCTATATAACATTCCATTGTGTATATGTACCACAATTTCTTTATCCATTCATCCACTGATGGAAACTTAGGTTGATTCCAAATCTTGGATATTGTGCATAGCACTGCAATAAATATGGAGTGCAGATATCTTTCTCACATACTGAATCTCCCCTTCTTTGGATTACATGAAGCAGTGGGATTGCTGGGTCATATGGTAGTTCTATTTTTAGTTATTTGAGGTCCATATGAATTTTAAGATCAATTTATCATATGGCACAAAACACCTTGTTGGGATTTTTATTGCAAATGCACAGAATTTGTGGATTAATTTGTGAAGAACTGACATCGTTCTCATATTGAGTCTTTCCACCCATGGACATGATATAATTCTGTGTTTAAATCTTCTTTTATGCCTTTAAAAAATAATTCAGAATTTCCTAGATAATCGTCTTAAACATGCTTGAATTATATTTATTCTCATACATGTTATTTATTACTATTGTGAAAGGGATCTTTTTTCCTATGAAAAATTTCACTGATTGTTTAGGAAAGTTATTAATTTGTGTAACTCATAACTAGCAACTCTGAATTCTCTTATTAGCTCTGGTAATGTATTTATAGAGTTTTATATTCTATGTAGCTAATCATATCATTAGCAAAAAAAGATCTTTCTACTTTTTCCTTTCTAATCTTCATACTTCCCTTTTCTTGTCTAATGAGATAATGCTGAAATGTAGTAATAACAAGCATTCTTATCTTGTTCTCTGCAGTAATGGGAATTAGTTTGATCATTAAACATGATATTTTTAATAGGCTTTTGCTAAGTGAAGGACATTTCCCTTTATTGCTAATTTGCTAAGAAGTATTTTTTTTTAAATCTTTAATCACTTAGACTTTATTAAATGCTTTTTTTATATATCTATAAAACAACTACATGATTTTTCTCTTTTAATATTTAGTGTAGTATATCATATAAATACATTTTCTGACGTCGAACTATCCTTGCTTTCCTGGTGGATTTCTTATTTGCTAACATTTTATTTTGATTTTCAAAAATCAATTTTCATAAGATTAGATTATAATTTTTATTTTGTGTGCTAATCTTGTTTGAGTTCAGCATCAGTGTTATTCAGAATTCTTTCTATGTCTCCACCTCAAACAGTGTATATAGGATAGGGATTATCTCTTTCTTTAAGGGTGGATAAAAATCACCTACAAAACTGTCATACTTAAATACCAGGCAATGAGCCTGGCTGTGGTTTCCCATCTCCTGTGAGGCATTTTAAGTTTTCTTTATTGCCCAGGTGCCCAGCTGTCATCTACTTCTGCACCTGAAGCTCAGCAGGCCTGCATACTGTTTTGAGTTTCTGTTGTTGATCTTGTTTTTTTTTTTTTTTTTTTGAGACAGAGTCTCACTCTGTTGCCCAGGCTAGAGTGCCGTGGTGTCAGCCTAGCTCACAGCAACCTCAAACTCCTGGGCTCAAATGATCCTCCTGCCTCAGCTGGGACTACTCAGCTGGGACTACTCAGTCCCTCCTGAGTAGCTGGGACTATAGGCATGCGCCACAATGCCCGGCTAACTTTTTCTATATAGTTTTAGTTGGCCAATTAATTTCTTTCTATTTATAGTAGAGACTGGTTCTCACTCTTGCTCAGGCTGGTTTCGAACTCTTGACCTTGAGAGATCCACTCGCCTCCGCCTCCCTGAGTGCTAGGATTACATTTGCTGTGTCTTCTTTAGCATGGATTCCATTTTAAAATCTTGATCAGATGTCCCTCAAAACTAATTTATCCTTATCACTTGTTTGTTGGGCAAGGGGCATTCTAGCTAGGGGAAAGAAGAAAACAGAACTAGGAATAAGACAAGTAAACTGTCTGCCCTTGGCTTTATCCTCTGCAAACATATATAAAGGCAAATATCTTTATTTTACTGTTAAAGGACACCAGAATAAGTGTATATAGTTAAATTAATTATCACTGATTTTCCCAGCACCATCCTATATATGGTTATTTTCACCTTATTTTTTCTAAATATAATCATTTTAGAATACTGATTCTGTCAGAAATGCTTTTCCAGAAAAAACTCCTATCAAGCAAAATGTTGAGAATGATAAGAAGGAAATTCCATAGAATTAAAATTCTCTCATCAGAAAGTACAACAGCAAAATATAATTGGATATACTAAATACTAAATTTTAAAGTACTTAAAAGGAAACTTTATAGAAGTCTGGAAGAAATGGGAATTCATAACTATGTTATGAGGAATGATATATATTTTTGAGAAAGGGTCTTACTCTGTCACCCAGGCTGGAGAGTAGCACATGATCATAGCTTGCTACAACCTTGAACTCCTGGGCTCAAGCCATCCTCCCACTTCAGCCTCCAAGTAAATAGGACTACAGGTATGAGCGATCACTTTTGGCTAAGTTTTTAAAAAAATTTTTGTAGAGACGTAGTCTTACTATATTGCCCAGGCTGGTCTCGAACACCTAGCCTCAAATGATTCTTTCGCCTCTGCCTCCCAAAGTGCTGTGATTATAGGCCCAAGCCACTGTGCACAGCTGAGAAACAATAATTAACTTATTTCTTTTGAAAATGCCAAATCTGCAAGGAAGATAACATTATTTCCACTACAGTTATTAAACTACTTTGGAGAATGTATAAAAGTGAAGGGTAATAGTGACCTCATATTCATTACAGCATATATTTTTATAAAATGAGTCCTTAATTATATCTCTATATAATTTCAGACAATTCCCAAATTATTTTAAGCAGTTTATAATGCAAAGAAATATAAAACTTTGACTTACCTATTGATTCAATCTGGAAATCAAAGGTGAGTTCTGATGATAATTTTCTACTGGATTTTAATCTTCCTTGGAGATTTACAATTTTTATACAACCTAGGAGGGGAAAAAGTCACTCAGAAATGAAGATAAAAGATGTCTTATTAAAAGAAGACATTCATAAATAAAAACTTACAGTCCAAGCACACAAGAATGGTATCTCTCTCCAGCTGGGTTACATGAGTAACACTTGTCTGTGGGGTATCTACAACACAAAAAAAAGTTCAGTAAACTTACGAAAAACCATAGTATTTAAAGCATACAGATAGTCAAGAAAAATAATTTTGATGGTAATGGTATTTCAAATGGATATAAATTTTTATAACACATACATAGTGGTTGAGCCAGACTACTTGGGTTCAAATCCTGATGCAAGTACTAATCCATGTAATTGCTTAACATAGTAAATGTTAGCTATTGTCAATAGTATTGGTGATGCAGAACCAATGGATATGAAAGGCTGACTGTACTGTAAAACAAACCATACTTACAATATTCTATAATGCAGCTCTTCTTTTTTTAAAAATCAGTTTTGCTATTAGCCTAAGATTTGTCTATATATGTACTTCTCACATTATGGTCCATGTATCAACAGTATTATTAAAAATAAACTTATTTATTTGTTTTTAGAAAAAGTACCTTAACTGATATTCAATTGGTCATATTAATGCAATTATTTCCAAGTAAGAGTAATACAAATGTGACTTCAAGGGTTACCTATACACGTTTGAGATTAACTGTGTTATATAAAATGTCATATGTTTTACAAAAATCATAAAATGACTCAAGTATATACCTCATTTTATAGTAAGAGATACTGCAAAAATGTTTATTAATATACACGTAATACAGGGCATTGAGGATCAGATCCCTATCATATTCATTACTAAATATAAAAATTGGTGTACGTGCTCTCAATGTACCTGCTTGGCCAAATTGTTTTAAATGTACCACATGGGTCAGCTATTTTAAAGAAAGTCATCTCTTCTTCTAGTTTAATCATAGTTATTGAAGACTGGCTTTTTATGCAGTTTTTGCTTAATAAGACACATTGTAAACTTATTACTTATAAAACCAGTATATGCATAATTCATAAAAATCACAAACCTGATTCTGTAAACCATGAAGAGGTAGAATTTGGATTGACAGTCTCAAATCGAACCACTTGGTTGAAATCTCTCCCTCTACTGACACCAACACAAACTAAAGGGTACTCCTGTTCAGGAACTACCAGCATTTCAAACATTCTAAGTGGACATGGTATAGGAAAATCTATGTGCTAGAGAAAGAAACAAAAATACATTAAATTTAGGAAAACAAAAGCAAATAATACTATGACAATACAAAAGAATTTCTAGTCTTTTAAAAGTATATAAAATAGCTTTTTACTTAATAGAAATTCAGGGTATGTAGAAAAATCTAAATTATGAAGTATCTTGATAAAGATGGTAGGTTTACCACTGTAAAAAGTTTTAAAGTTACAAATCACACAATTTGAGGATGTGAAGGCTGGAAGGGAACTTGTAAGTCACCTATCCAACCCTCTCTTTTCAGAGTTGGAAACTGAGGTCCAGGAATTGGGTGACTGGCCCACGGTCCCCCTTAGCCTTTCTGGCAGCCTTTTTTCTCCCAATTTGATACATCTTCAGTTATATTCCTCTGCCTTCTAAGCCAATTGAGAAGACATGGATGAGAGAAGTCAAATGTTAATTAGCAAGAAAAGCTCCTAAGTGTATTTAAAAATTTAGCCTCATGCCTCAAGTGATTTTATTAAAAAAATTAAATTATAGTATAATTTTAATTTATATAACTTTAAAATTATTTTTATATTGCTACCAAAAGAATAAAAGAAATTCACATTTTGAAGGTTCAGAAAAATAGATGGAAAATGGTAACTTCATTAGTAATCAAAGAATAAAATCACAATGAAATATTATATATACCCACCAAAAAGGCTAAAATTAAAAAATTAAAATTAAGAAGAATGACAATAACAAGCATCGGGGAGGAGTAAATGAATGCTCACATGTTGGTGGGGGAGTAGAAATTGGTACAAACACATTGGTTAATTACATTATCTATTATTGTTGAAGATATGCATTTTTTATGACTCTGCAATAATATTCCCAGGCATACATTCTAAAGAACATGAGTACATAGGCACAGGAAACAAAAGTAAAAATGTTCAAAGCAGCATTGTTCAGAATAACAAAAAACTAGAAATAATCCAAATGCCTGTCAACAGTAGAATGGATAAAATGATGGCATATTCACAGAAAATTATAGAGGAATGAAAATAAACAAACTATAGCTATATCCAACAACCAGACAAGTACAATGCTGCAAAAAAGAAGCCAGACAGAAATCAATGTATACTTTATGATTCTACTCACATACTGTTGAAAAATTAGGTAATATTAATGCTAATCTTTAGGTATACATGCTTACATAGTAAAAAGAGAGCACTACTAAATTTATTTTTTTAACCTGGCAACTTGTAAATTCTAAAGAAAATAAAAAGTTGTAATAGGACCACCGTAACTACTAGTTCTAAGTTGGTGGAAGATACAACATGGTCCTCATGGCTAGAACGTGAAGCTCTGTGCGCGCCTGTTCCCACACCCCTTCCTCCCCTGTGGCTGCTAGCGCGCCTCCATCACACAGGCACAGACACTTCCTCATCCATTTTCCAAACCTCCTTTCTACGAGCGTTCTCATTACCCCGCAGCAGAGGTTTTGGATAAAATTTGTCACATTTTTTTTCCTTTTATTTTATCATCACATTTTTAATAAGGTAAAACAATTTTAAGAATTCTCTTTGAAATATGATAAGAGCAATAAGGCAGAAAGAAAACAATGCTTGCTTTTTAGAAAATTTTTTTGTTAGCATAAAAAATAAATAAATAAAAAACCCTAACAGATTTTGACTACTTCTGTGTAGCTTCCAACAATAACTGAGCAATGTTGTGTACGTTACTAACCGGAAGGGATTTCCATCTAATAGCTTTAAATCCAGTTGCTATTGGTGATTGTCCTTGAGGGCAAGAACTATATTCTAGTCACTTTTATTGAGCTAGTGAGTAGCACTGTGCCTAGTTTATAATAAGTACATAGTATGTGCTGGGAAGTCTTTAATTTTTAACTTTTATTTATGATGAAAATGTAGTCTAATTAAGCAAAAGCTATCAGAAATGTCATTAAGAGGAAGGAAGAACACAGAAAACATAAGAATATTTTTGAACACATCTGATAAAGAGTTATAGTAAAGAAATATCAAAAATACTAGTTGAAATAATGCCAAATATAGAAATAAGATACACATATAAGTCTAGAAGCAGAGAGACACTTAAAGGAAAGTTGGGTTATGATGAAGAGAGGTGGGTAAGGGCATATAGCTTTGGGAGTTTAAGGAAAAGGTAAAGAGTGAAAAGGTCTTGAAGGAGACCTGTAGGCAGAACTGTCTGCAAGTCTACTACTCAGAATGCTAGTTAAGAGGCCTCACTAGTCAGAGCCAGGCTAAGTTCCATGGTGCCATACACCTGGAAAAGAGAAGCCATGGGTGGGTAATTTTTAAGCTTTCCATGTCTTCAAAATATGTATTTCCTACTGCATGCTCTTCATACCTAAAATTCCTTCAATAAAGGCTCTTTCAGCCAGGCACGATTGCTCACACTTGTAATCCTAGCACTCTGGGAGGCCAAGGCGGGCGGACTGCTCGAGGTCAGGAGTTCGAAACCAGCCTGAGCGAGACCCCGTCTCTACCAAAAATAGAAAGAAATTAATTGACCAACTAAAAATATATATACAAAAAAAATTAGCTGGGCATGGTGGCGCATGCCTGTAGTCCCAGCTACTTGGGAGGCTAAAGCAGTAGGATCACTTGAGCCTAGGAGTTTGAGGTTGCTGTGAGCAAGGCTGACACCATGGCACTCTAGCCCGGGCAACAGAGTGAGACTCTGTCTCAAAAATAAATAAATAAATAAATTTTAAAAAAGGCTCTTTCATTACATATATTAGGACACATGGTTTAACATATCAGATGACACATAAAATTCATTCATAACAGAGTTTTTAATCAGTCTATCAGTATATGTGAATAACAGATATGATGAAACTTTGTCATTTTGATAGAGGTTAGGAATGAAAGGAACAGGAAGGACATATCTAAAATAGACTAAGAGCCGGGCGTGGTGGCTCACGCCTGTAATCCTAGCACTTTGGGAGGCCGAGGCGGGCGGATTGCTCAAGGTCAGGAGTTCGAAACCAGCCTGAGCGAGACCCCGTCTCTACCAAAAATAGAAAGAAATTAATTGACCAACTAAAAATATATATAAAAAAAAATTAGCTGGGCATGGTGGCGCATGCCTGTAGTCCCAGCTACTCGGGAGGCTGAGGCAGTAGGATCGCTGAGCCCAGGAGATTGAGGTTGCTGTGAGCCAGGCTGACGCCACGGCACTCACTCTAGCCTGGGCAACAAAGTGAGACTCTGTCTCAAAAAAAATAAAATAAAATAAAATAGACTAAGGAAGGAAAGGAAAGAAGATAGGGAAGGAAGCAGCTGCAGAAAAGTCCAACTGTGTAGACTTCACCATTCCATCTAGGATAAGGCATCCTTTTGTCAGACAGGCAAGAACAAAGAGGAGCAGAGAACAAATAATTTTTGCCATAAAAAGGCTATATTCAGTAGCTCTGCTTTAGAAAATTTATAAGGTTATTTTCCTCTCAGCTTTTGGTTTAAGAATTTTTGTTTCAGTGAATTTATTTGTGAAATTACTATTACTTCAATAGGTTTCAAATTTTTAAAACTATTTTCTCATCTATAGCCCTAGTTACTCTTGATGTTAATACTGATGTGAAAACTAAATTAGATTTTCTAGTCAAGCATATAAGATTTTAAATAACAGGAAGTCAATACTTTAAACATCCTAATTCAGTATTATCAAATTTAGAAAGAATTTCACTCCAGTTATATTCTGACTCAAATTTCTACTCAGAGATCAAATGTTCATGAAATAAGACTACTTAATTCATACACAGTAGCAAAGAAAACAGTTTTTAATAATTCATTTGGTATTTCCTTGGTGTAAACTGAGCCTGCACTTCATACATTTTAAAAGTTAGTTTTTCCTCAAAATGTAGATTATAGCTGAATAATATTAAATATTTTAAAGGTCATTCATTAATTAAAGATTCTTAAGAAACTTAAGAAAAACAATTATCCATGGAAAGACATGGGCAAATTAATAGGCAGGCATATAATCAAAACAAATCGATTCTCCCTTATTATGGTCATCCCTTGTCTTCTTAGACCAAACACTAACCTGTAGATTGCTTCTCTGCGGTGATGGAGCAGGATCAACCAGAGAGTATATTCAAAACATTTCACTGATCTTTTGGCACCTGGTTTTGACAACAGGCTGTGTATGTGAGACACTCAGTGTTCAGATCCCTACTGCCATTCACTGAATGATTTCTCTAATCTCTTTACAAATTTTTATCAGGCCAACTGAGTTCCTTATAATTGGTCAGTTTTTCACACCCTGCCATGTAATCCAAAATCATTAAATAAACTTGAGAATTAACTGAAAAAATGTTTTTCTAAAGAAAATAGAAGTTGTCAATTGAGCTTCTGTACTAAGAATGTGATAGGCTGACTTTCATGCTTACCTTAATTAACATAAATTTCTGCATTGGTTCAACCCATTCTAATAGGACGATGCTAGTCTGAAGTGCCCCGCATAGGTATTTATGGCCTGTGTATGGATTTCTTACTGTCAAGGCAAAAAAGAAACATGAGTTCTCTGACCACAACACAAAGTTCTTACAGTAATAATTACATGCTCTAAAACAAAAGCTAGATGTCAGTTCAATTTCTTAATTAGACAGCAAGGTGAAAAGGAAATACTGTTTCAGGTAATAGTGGGAAATGTCCTCAATACTTGCAGGATTTTTATTTGCATGCACAAATGAAACTGCTGGTTGTAATGGTGTCGAGAGTCAGGAAGGAGGACATGAGGTCATATGTTAACAGGGAAATTAGCTGAGTAGCAACATCTTGAAAAAAGGGTCAAACTAAATTTGGGGAGAAATAGTCAAATTGATAGGATACAACACATTTAGGTGGTTCACAGGGTGCTTTTGGCAGTAATATTCAGAAGCGATAATGCTTTCTTTCTAAAAATAAAACACCTGTCCATCGCCCTCCATTTTATTAAACTGTTATGGTCCTTAGGAAACATTATAGACAGTAATCAAACCTTTAAATACAGATTTAAAAACAATAAAATTGAATTGCCTCAGATTTCGTACTTTTCTTCTGGTAAGACATAAAGTAAATATATTTGAAAAAGAGACCAAAAAAACTACAAAAAGAACAACAGTAAAATCTATAAATGTCATATAGATTTGAAATAATTAAACGGCAGAGGGGAGGTAAACAGCAAAATCACCCAGCCAAAGCAAACAAAAGGAAAACCTGGCACCTTTCCTTCTCCTCTGGCAGCCTCATGGGGTTTTCTTAGCCACTCTGCAAAACAGGGGAGCTACATGTTTTTACTGGACAGGTTACTTACCAACACAACACTTCTGACACCACTTGGTTTCAGGGATTTTTGCTGACACAGAAAATTTCCTAAATGTAAAAGAAAATGAGTATATAATAATTGTAGGCAAACTCAGTCTATGACAATAGTACTCTTACAGATCAATGGAGAAAGGATGAGCTAAAAAATTGGTGCCGACATAATAGGTCAAAGAAAGAATAAATCGGGTTGCTTTCTCATGTCCCCCAAGCAATTCCAAATGGATTAAGGATTTAAATATGATCAAAAAAAACAAAAGCCAAAACCAAAACCAAAAAACTACAGCAGTATATGACCTTGGGATTTCTTTAAAAAAATGCAAAAAGAACAAATAACACAGGAAAATACCTATAAAATTTAACTGACATTTTTTTCCACTGCTGCATCTCTAGCACCTCGAATTACAGGTGGGATTAGATTTGTTGAATTAGTAAGATTGGTTTACTAAAAGATACCGATGAGAAGTTACCTCAAAAACTGGGAAAAGATATTGTTAGCACTTATAATAAATTTAAGTCATATAAAAAGTCATCTTACCACTACAACAATTTAAGAACATCTTTTATTTAGACATCTTTATTTCTCTACTCAGGAAAAGTGGGATACAGATTTTCTGCAAAGGGATTTTAGGAGTTCCACAGACATCTGATTCAAATTTAATAGGTAAAAATCCATTTTGAATTATTTTTTAAAACTACAATTTAAAAAAAAATACACATACACTCAAGTGTCACTTATAATCAAAGTTAAAATAATGGAGACTGCCAGTGCATCAAGTTGTGTGAACCTCAAACATCTCCAGTTCTGTATACATATTTAAACTTCTTTTATACACATAAATATGTCGAAGATTAGTCAGTGCTCTGTATCAGTCATTTTTAAAATGTATAGTTGTACATAAAATTGTACAGCACATGTATGACATTCACTGTAATTCCAAACAAGCTCAGAAGAATCTTCTTAGTGGATGTTCCTGTCACTATACAATTGACAAGAGAGTAATAACCAAGCACATATAACACACTATGGTACTGTAATTTAACCTTTAGTATGTTCTATATATTGACTTTATATTCATGAAAGGCCATAATAATTACAGCTAACATATACCGAGTCCTTACTATGTGCCACGCATTTTACATGTTCTGTGCCATTTGGTCCCCCCAACAATACTATGAGATAGTCATAGCATAGAAATATGAGGCTTAGATTTTTGCTCAAGATCTTATAGTTAGCAACTTAGAGAGAAAAAACCCTCGTCTAGTGTTACTCTACCTGACTCCAATGTTCATAGTGATTCAACTTTGAGAAAAATCTACTGCTTCTCTTCATGCTTCTGTGTCAATTTAAATGAAGAGTATTCAGAGTTTGTAAGGTAAGATGTTAAAAGCTGTGAATCAAAATATTCTTGATACTATGACCTCTAAACAATGACACAGAAATTATTCCAATGCTGAGGCACTGAATGATTATAATGGCAATCCAGAATATCCTGACTTCAAATTTCTGTTTAAAGTACTTCATTGCTCACTTGACTAATTTATATTAGGAAAAGTTTTACCTTTCAATTTATAATTATCTAATTATAATTAGACTTATCATTTTAAAATATCTCTTTCATATACATTGGAGTTTCATCTAGCTTAAAACAAAAATTCCTCATACCCTTAACCAAAATGCTTTGAATCAAAGTGCTCTTTAGAGTTTTAAAAAAATATGAACCAAGCTCATGATAGATTTCCACTGGGAACAAGTTTAATGTACCTGTCTACACTTGTAAACTTGTTTCCTGGTTCCCAAAGCTAACTTACAGTTTAAGTTACTGAACTGGTCAAAACCCAGGAGTATTAACTGCTAGGTTCTCAAAGACCACAAGGAATACTACTACCAGAACAAGAACAATCAACTATTAAGTATGGCTTAGAATTAACTTTTATCAAACTTTTCAAAATAGAGTTGTGGGCAGCACACTGAAATGTCATAAAATTTTAATTAATATTCTACAGTGATCTATACACTTGCTTTAATTTTAGTCATGATTTTACCAAATGCAATAAAACTTATTTTGCCAGCACCCAATTAACTGGGATTCTAAGTTGACCAACATTTTTAATGTATTTAATGTAGGATATTTTAGGGTACACCACAGACATAGTTCAATTTACCATGCTTGATAATGATGAAAATGGGTCTATTTTGGCATTGAAAACCATGGTAGGTACTTTACATACATAATTTATCATTTTCAAAACAACTCTAGAAAATAAGTATACTGATTCCAGGATTTAAATTCGAGTCTTCTTGGATTCCAAAGCTTATGCTTTACTAAAGAATTCTAATATGGTATAATGAGTACCTATCTTTAGGAGAACCATGAGGCTCTCCATTTTCAGAATAAGAACTGCTCAAACGACGTTTAAGTTATGTTTACTGTATAGTAGAAGAAATGGCACCAATACATATATAAAATATTATCACACCCAAAAGGGTTTTAGATTTCCTGCCAATAAGTGAGAGAATTAAGAGTAGATTTTATAGTAATTAATTACTAGCTAATGAACCTCAAGAAAGTGGGAAGGACATGTTTTTGGCTGTTACTAACACTAAAGACTGACTATATCAAAGTCCCTGAAATAATAACTCAGAGGTAAAATACTCTTAGAGGTAAAATCATACTATATGGAGACTCCTTAAAAGAAGAGGCAGTGTCTTATTCAGTTTTGACTCATCTATACACAGGACACTTCATGCACATCTGGTATATTCAGTAAAATTTGGAAGAACTGTACACAGCTAGAAACAAATAAGCTAAAAAACTCTCTACTGTAATAAAAAGATATTAAAACATGAATGCATTAGAGTTTATGTGCCTTATATTCCTTGAGGGTACTTTATGTGTATCTTATATATACTTGAAAGCATGGTGGTCAGTTTCTATGCCCATAGTAATTTACAATTATCAAGTTAGAAAGTTGGATGGAGAAGTGCTTTAAGTAGGCAAATAGTAGCACAAAGTGGCAGCTGAGAGAAAAAGAGGGGCAGATAAATTATATGGGAAGAAAGAAAGTCCCCAACCCAGTTCTTGACACTAGTTTTATAGGAGCCACATCCTTAACTCAAACTATAGAGATAATATAATAAATCAAGTTCATAATCACAGTTCTGAGTATTCAGGAAAACAGTTATATTCAATATAATATATTTTAAGAAAACAGAAAAACACGCAGTATATTTTTAAATTATTTTCATCAAAAAGGTTAATTTTTAAAAAGATTTGTATACAAGGGGCAAATCTTAACTATAATATCAACTCAGCAATTGAGAACAGAGTCTCAAGGTACTTGAAAGCTCAGGTTTTACTTTAGTTGCTTTATAACAAACACTAAACAGAAAGAATGGCTATATTATAAAGTTTTTATAAAATGCAATTCATACAAGACTTAGAAGACCTTCTAGTCAACAAATATGGTCCAATATTATAATGAACAAAAGGAAGAACATAGCATAATAAAAAATTCTTGAAAGTAGAAAAGCAAAACCTCTCAACTTCTAAGTAATTATTTCCTAATGCAAAAAGATCCAAATCATTTTGATTTTCTAGGTTTACAAACTGTACTTTGAGATAAATTTTATAGTTAGCACAAATACATAAGTCAAAACCAAAGGCACTATATGTGATGTAAAATTACAGCAAATTACAGCAAAAATTAGTTTTTACCTTGCAGAAACACAGAAAACTTCAGAGAGAACAATGTGTGATGTGATTGCAAAGTATAAACTAGAAAAATTTTAGAACAAGAGTGTGATCAATAAACTTATTAAAATATATTACTTATGATATGATTTTTCTTAACCAAAACTGAGTGTTTTTACTTTCTATAGCATAAGTATTCATTAGAATATATTATTAACATACTATCTCTTAGGATGAAAACATAATTAAATGTGCCCTTACCTTGGCAGTATTTTGTCAGGGAGTTTATGTGCTGGAATAGCAACAGGTAACTTTTGCATTTGTCTTGCATAATCGAAAAGCCCTGGTAAATTATGCGAATAAAGCTGAGAAGCTTTACCTGTAGAGAAAAATAAATATGACATAAAAACTAATAACAAACAGTAACAATTATAAGGTATTTATAAACTAAAATACATACCAGATATTGATAGTAAGCAGTTGTTCATTACATATAACCATGTACACCTTCGCGGGAATAGCTGATGAAGAAAAACCAAAACACAGTTTATAAGAAATAATAACATTCAAAATAATAAAAAAAGAATATACAAAATAACATACTTGTTCCATTGATGTTTCATGAAGTTCATTAAGATTCAGAGTATAAATCCCTTCTTCGGCACCAAATATCAAGTACTGATCTGAAATAAAAGTAATTCGCTGACTGATTTTGATAAATAAGATACTTTTAAAAAGGATTTATACAATCTAGAATTCAGTAAATATATGTTAATATATAAAAAAAGAATTACTGAGATTTATAAGCAGTAAAAACTTGTTTTTAATTTCAATACAAAGAGGTTAGACATTCTAGACTAATAAATTGAGCTATCTATAAATAGTATCCTGAGAACAGTGAAGAAAAGTTTTATGTAAGGGAGGCTCTGAAGACTGGTATGCTAGACTCTTCACACTTCAGAGCTAAGAATTGGCAGAGAATCTGCAGTTCCTTTTCCTAAAACCATCGTAAAAGAGGATCATGTACAAATGACATACAGAATGTAAATCAAGAACAGCTGACACCGACTCAAAATATTTTTACAGCGTAATATTTTTTCAGGGTTATTACTATAAGCATTCTGATTTTTAAAAAAAGCAACCAGGATCTGACTACTGCCTATTAAAAAGTTAACTAAAACTTGGATACCTGCTAGGGTACTCAATATCTTCTAGAACTATGGTCCCCAAACCCTGGGCTGTGAACCAGTACTGGTCTGTGTCCTGTTAGGAACCGGGCTGCACAGCAGGAGATTAGCAGCAGGTGAGCAAGTGAAGCTTCATCTGTATTTACAACTGCTCCTCATCACTTGCATCATGGCATAAACTCCACCTCCTGTCAGATCAGTGGTGGCATTAGATTCTTATAGGAGTGCAAACCCTACTGTAAATTGCATATGAAAGAGATCTAGGTTGCACACTACTTATGAGAATCTAATGCCTAATAATCTGAGGTGGAGCTGAGGTGGTGATGCCAGTGCCGGGTAGCAGCTGCAAGTACGGATTATCATTAGCAGAGAGGTTTGACTGCATAATAAATGTGCTTGAATCATCCCAAAGCCACCCCCCCACCAGTCCGTGGAAAAATTGTCTTCCATGAAACTGGTCCCTGGTGCCAAAAAGTTTGTGGACTGCTGTTCTAGAAGATATTAAAAGCCTATCCATGGTCCTGTCTGATCTGTTTATAAAATAAAGGTCAAGAACTTCTCCAGACTAAAGGGAAGCATGTTGAGAACAACACTGAATGTCAAGAGCATACCTAAATTGACCAGCATTTAAGATTAGTACTGGCAGACTAATGGCATGAGATTTGTGGTCAGACAGAACAGGGTTTAAACTGAAGCTCTCTACCATCAATTGAACTATGAAATAATGAACCTAAGTGTCAGTTTCCCTAGTGATGAAATAAAAGTACCTACCATGGATTTTCAGATTTAATAAGAATGTGTGTGCATATAAATATACACATCCATGTAAAATATTCACATCTCTGCGTATCTTACATAGATGGATATACGATACAGATACATAGTGAAAGGGCACACAGTCCTTAGTGCCTAATGACAACTATTTTGATTATGACCCTTTTGAGGTAAGAAATCCTCTTAAGTGGTCACTAAACCCTGGAGGGGGGGATCCTCAGTAGCTACATTCCTTCAGCAATAGCTGTGTCAAAAAAATAAATAAAACTATTGTACAGCAATAGAAGGAACATTTCTGGAGGAAGTTGGGGTGGCATTGAGTATATGGCATCACCATATAAATACAGCAACTATATAGTGGAATTTCAATGTTACGTATCACCCGAAAGACTGATAATAGCACAGAGAAACGTATTTACCTTAACATTTAAGAAAAATTATAATAAAACTTTTTTCAGAAAATATTTAGAAAATGAATAAAATCAAATGCTTTCATGGCTCCAGCTGAAAGAAAAATTAGGAAGATAACAGACAATAATAATACAGTACTACCTCTTGTATCTGGGTTTATCCATGATGTTGCACAGTGAATTTTCAAGGGACATCCATTAAAAACCTTTGAAAAACATGCACCCATCTAGAAAAACAAAGAATAACCAATATGAAACAGTGACAAATAAGTCTTTAATATGATATATGTACATATAATGTAATTATTTTCTATTTTAATGTGGGAGACTATAGATGATACACTGAAATTATGATCTTCACATTTATAGAAATAAACTTATCACAGTCATTTGCCTAACAGTGGTACCACAATGATTTTACTCAAGAAAAAGAGAAAAAAAATTCAGTCATATTTTTTTTCTCTTTTCAGCTAAACAGAGCAATTATAGCAACCAATTCTACACAGTAATTTGCCTATCAGAGTATCACTCACAAGTCTCGTATCAAGAGCAAGACAATATTCTCTGGTAAAACAGAAAGCATAATTTCTACAAAGGTAGAAATTTTTCTTGTTTTGTTTCATGAACCTAAAAATGGTATTAATTGTTGAATTTCACATTACAAAGTGAAGGAGTATGATTGATTTGAAATTCAAAACTCCTTTCTTTTTTTCTTTTGAGACAGGGTCTCATTCTGTTGCTTGGGCTAGAGTGCAGTGGTATTATCATAGCTCACTGCAACTTCAAACTCCTGGACTCAAGTGATCCTTCTGTCTCAGCCTCCTGAGTAGCTGGTGCATACCACCACATCCGGCTAATTTTTTCTATTTTTAGTAGAGACAGGATCTTGCTCTTGTTCAGGTTGGGATTTGAAATTCATATATGTGCTTCATCCTCAAAACATAGACTGTTTTTTTTTTAAACTAAGCGATCTGATTATTTATCCAAAAAGATTCATTAAAGAGCTTTACTCTTTGATGTTAATATTAATTTATCAAGCCTATTTATAAATCTTTTATATAATAAATACTTTATAATGAAATAGTATTACTCATTTTAACTTTATGTTGTATTTGCTCTTTTCAAAAGAGCAAAATGTTAATTTTGAAATTATTGTTTTGGTTAAATACTCAAAGTACAAGAAAGCTTACTCATGTAATCACTTTTACTATTGAGGGAAAAGCTCTACAAAAATATCTGGTTAGAGGAAATTTCTGTATTTGCCCTGTTGTCCTAAATTAGCATTGTGCATCATTTTGTATCAGGAATATTTTAATCACAAACATGGAGGTAACATGTTGAGAGAACACATTGACTGTAATCCATTACAGTTACTGCAAAAGATGTTATTTCATTTAAGGCTGAGTAGTATTCCATGGTATACATATACTACATTTTCTCTATCCACTCATGAATACATGGGTACTTAGGCTGATTCCACATCTTTGAAACTGTGAATTTTGCTGTGATAAACATCTAAGTAGAGGTGTCTTTTTGGTAAAATGACTTTCCTTTGGGTAGATATCCACTAGAGGGACTGCTGGATTGAATGAAAGTCCACATTTATTTAAGGAATCTCCATAGAGATTTTTCCACAGAGGTTATATTAATATGCAGTCCCAGCAACACTGTGTAAGTGTTCCTTTATCTCTGCATCCATGCCAGCACCTCTGTTTTTTTGACTTTTTAATAATGGTCATTCAGACAGGGGTAAGCAGCATCTCAATGTGATTTTAATTTGCAATTCCCTGATTACTAATGGTGTTGAGCATTTTTTCATATGTTTGCCGGCCATTTGTCTATCTTCTTTTGAAAAACTTCTGTTCATGTCTTCTGCCCACTTTTTAATGGAGCTGTGCTTTTTGTTATTGTTGCTGGTCAAAGGACACAAAAATTCAGCTAGACAGGGAGAGTAAGTTCAAGAGATCTATTGTATATCATGGTGACTACAGTAAATAACAATATATTGTATTCCTAAAAATTGCCGAGAGTAGATTTTGGCAAAAAAATACGTGAGGTAATGCATATATTAGTTTGATTTAGTCATTCTATAACATATACCAAAAGATCAGTTTGCATACCAAAATTATACACAACTTTTACTTGTCAATTAGAAAAATAAATATAAAAAGAGAAAAAGAAAGACAGCATGGTCTAATTTAAAACAAAAAAACCCAACTAGGTGCAGTGGCTCATGCCTGTAATCCCAGCATGTTGGGAGGCTGAGGTGAGAGGATCGCTTGAGGCCAGTAGTTTGAGACCAGCCTGGGTAAAATAGCAAGGCCTCATTTATACAAAATATTAAAAAATTAGCTGGGCATGGTGGCACGTGCTCGATTGAGCCCAGAAATTGGAGCTTACCATGAGCTATGACTGAGCAACTGCATTCTAGTCTGCATAGAGCGAGACCTTGTTTCTACATGAACAAACAAAACAACCCAGACTATAATATAGGACATCTAAATTCTCGCTAGAGTTGAGTGGAATTTTGTGATCTGGGTGACTGAGATCTTTGGGTCTCAGTTTTACTCATGGGAAAAATAACAGGTTGGGCCACATGTTCCTTCAATGCTCCTCCTTGTTCTAAAATTCCATGGTTTTGATCACTGAAAACATGTTAGAAAAAAGTTGTATCTATATTTTGTACTTCCTAGTATGTTAATACTCCTCTTTCACATTTCTTCAAAAACAGCTGCAAATAAGATTATTAACAAATGTTGGAATCACGAAGCTTTAAAATGTATAATTTATCATAATTTTATTTTGAAAAGCTACTTTTAAGATATAATCAAATACTATTTCAAGTAGCAATCTTATAGATTTTTTTCAAAAATAATGAAAGTTCTTTCAAACAGGCACAAAAATCTAACCAAAGATACACATTCAAGCAATTATTTGTCATTGTACTTAGTTTGAAAACTTAGCCTATTTGATATTTAGTACTTACATGCACTTTAGGTGTTGGGGGAAGACCGTTACTAATCGGCTTCTAGAAAAAGAACGCATACATGATTACACATTTTTGCTGCTGCTTCGTATAATAATACCATATTTCAAACATATTTATTGAAATAAAATACATGAATACATTCTGCTTGTAAAACAAAACATTATAGATATGGCTGAAGTTTCCTATAATGCTTTCACAATGTACTTATTTCTGGTATTTGTCCCCCCAAAACCAGTTTGGTGTATAACCTTCCAAATCTTTTTCTAGGCAAGTTAGACAGATGTACTTATATATTTGTATAGCTTTCCAGACTTTTTTGGTATATATTTAAATATACACCCCCATAGAAAATATTACTTTTGTGTGTGTTTTAAAACATAAAACACATGCACTGTTTATCTACTTGTTCTCTGCCTTAAAATCGGGTTTTGGACAGCATTCTGTGTCAGCCATACAGACCTACTTTATTTAACTGCAACATACTATGAATGTAACATACTTTATTTAGATATTCTATAAATGTTATTGGATATTTAGGTTATTTTCAATATTTTACTATAATAACAATGCTGAAATGAATGACCCTGTGCATACCTTCTTATGCAGTGTATGAATGGTTTCTTTCAGTGTTTACTGTGGAAAGTAAAACTACTGGCACACAGAGTCTGAACTTTACATTTTAGCAGCTACTGACTGCCAGACTGCCTTTCAGAGTGTGCGTATCACACGCCACACGCACCAGCAATGGACTAGAGTTCCTGGTTCCCTATAGTCGCACAGCAATATTGTCAAGCTGATCGGTGACACATTTTTCATGTGTTTCTCATTAATTTGTATGCCTCTTTCGCTAGGAAGGTTGAGAATCTTTTAGAAAACTGTTATCTGTACTTCTTCCCCTGTGTATTCTCTTTTCCCATTTTTTATTGAATTTTTTTCATATCTATTTGTTGGAGTTTTAAAAATATATTCTAGATTTGAACTTTATCTATTATATATGTAACAAATACTTCTCCTAGTCTTTAGATTATCTTAACCATGTTTACAACATATTTTGGAAATTGAAGTTTTAAATTTTGATGAATTCAAGTATATTAATCCTTGGTCAGAGTATACAGACAATTATAAGAAAAGCAAACGCTGCTATATTTGCTCACCCATAATATCCTTAAGAATGGCAGATATTTTTCCAAAGTGCCACATTCCTGAGAATATGAACTATCTCCTCAAGAGGGGAAGCTCTTTGGGTTATAGTCAGACATGAATTTTATGAAAGTCTAGATTTCTTTCAAAGTTAATAACAGCATTTTCAGAAATGACATTATAATTTTCTCCTCAATCTGACATAAATCAGAATCATTTAAACAATGAGATATAAGCAAACAAAAAACTCTGCTAATTGATTTCATATATATAACATAAAAATATGAAATGGTAGTTCTGAAATTAAGATTATATGACATTTTACTTTGTAGATACATTTTTGAAGATTTACAACATATTATTGTCAACAATATCTGACAACTTTTTATTCCATTTTGCAAATAACTTATGTACATTTTCTCATACTGACATTCTTAAATTACCTGATGTCATCTATTTTAGCAAAACATTTTTAGTTAGGGAGCTCTGAATATTATAACTCTCAGATTTAACTTAAGTACTAACAAAATTGTCTGTAAATAATTTCAAGAATTACATCAAAAACTTTAAGTATGTTTCAATATACCACAGATAATGCTTATCCTATCATAGAACTGTTGACATATTTATCTCAGAATTACTGAGACTGTTAGTTCCTTAATTAAGTAACATAGCAGAGGTAAAAACGCATACATAAAAAATGCATACATCTCCCAAAGACAATTATATACTGTGTTACAGTCATTGAGCTGCATTTTTGTACTATTATATTAGCAGGGCTGCTAAAATTTAAACTGTTCAAAGCAAAACAGCACCGCTCAGTTGGACGGAACTTCATAAAACCCATTCCTGAAGGACATTTTACACTTTTGTTAAAAATGTCCTAAATTTCACAAATTACAATGAACCTCAGCCAAATGCCTTAATTGAATTTTAAAAAACAGTATGTCACATTCTACAGCAAAATATTTTTAAAAATTAAATACAGTACAAAAACCTCTAGTGATGTGCTTACTGCACAAACCACAGCACATATACGCACATAAACTAAATATATTATAAATTTCTATACAAGTAACAAATATTAGTATATAAAAAAATACTTTCATCTCACTGACATTTCTTGAAGTATTAGGGACTTTAAAGGATTTTTTGCTGTTGCATCAAATTCTATGATGATAGATGAATGTCTTCCAGTGATCAGAATTCTTTACAAATGTTTAAAAAATTTCATCACTTAGGATCCCCGGTAAGTAATACTTATGTTTTAATAGTTATGTCATAGTGTTTTACTTAACATTTGTACCATGAGTAGCTGCTAAGGCTAATTTCACCTTTCCTGAAATGACATATCTGCTAGATTTTCTCCCCTTGTTAGCTGTTTTTTTTGGTAAGTGCAGCAATATCACTAATTGTGTAATCTATGGCTAGAAATTTGTCTTAAAGTAGAAGCTATAACTTTCTTTATCTATGTCCTTCTTCCCATAACTTGAGACTATAAGAGAAACTTTTAAGTTTCTCTTATAGAGAATTGATATTCTCTCGGATTCCCTTTGACCCTGGACATCATTAAAAAGAAATTAAAAAAAAAGAATCAATTCTCATCAATAAGGATAATAATAATTATTTTGTGAACAATAACAAGAATACCAAGCATTTATCAGTATGAAGACCATGTTTTATATAATACGCTATATAACAAATTAGTCTAAATAGTTTAAACACCAGAATTAATAATTCAAGTTTACCATAGCAAAGTCACTTTTTTCTAAGATTTAAATAATCTCTTCATCATTATAATTAGTACACTAAAACAGCAATATAATAATTATAAAATATATGATTGCTACGGTTTCACTAATTACAAGTGTGAAATTAACTTAATAGTGAAAAAGGAAACAAATATAAGTAGAGGTTACGAATATCAATACCTACTGGTACATCTTTCTTTTCTTTCCTTGAAAGGTTTGTGCCTCTATGTTCATTCTGTTGTTGATATAATGAGCCATCTCGTTCACCATTTAACTGGAAGGAACTCACTCCATTTCCTTTAATAAGATATGTTTAAGTATATTGAAAAATGATTAATTTTCAAGAAAATTTTTACTCAGAAAATTATCAAGTAGGAAAGGAATATATTAACTCTGAGCTACTTTCATTACCATTGGATCACCCAATCAGAATATTTAGTACTAAAATAAGAAGTTTTTTTTTTTTTTACTTTTTTAAATTTTAGCATATTATGGGAGTACAAGGGTTAAGGTTACATATATTGCCCATGTCCCCCTCCCCCCTCGAGTAAGAGCTTCAAGTGTGTCCATCCCCCAAACGTTGCACATCTCATTCATTGTGTTTGTATATACCCATCCCCTTCTCCCCCCTCCCACCCTCCCGACACCCGATAAATGTTACTCCTGTATGTCCACTTAGGTGTTGATCCGTTAATACCAATTGAAATAAGAAGTCTTATATATATGTTCTTCTACTTGTACCTTTATTTTTAGCACATTAGGCAAATTTAAATTCAAGTTGTACTTGAGTACATGCATTTATTTGCATTAAAAAAACAAAAAAGAAATACTGAATTCATAACTACTTTCAGAAAAGGGCTGATTCATATTATGTTATCCAAAAAACTTTAGATGTTCTTTTTTAAATTGGTTCTTTTGGATAAAAGAGAGGAAACTTTACAGTGTTAAAACAGTACCTGCTAGCATTAATTTGGAGGCAAATACAAAGTGATTATAAATGAAATAAATTAGACAAAGTACCCTCTTGTTTTCTAAAACACAAGTAGTCTAGAACCCAAACACATTTTCCTCGTTTGTTCAGAGTTTAATTTCCGCTGCCTTTACACAGTAGCTGAATGATAAATGGGCATTGACCAGTCTCCAGAATAGAGAAGGCTCAATATGAAATGAGAAATGAGGGGCAAAATAGCTCACACTGGGTCATAGGAAATCCTGTCATAAAAACATTGAACCATGAGGCAAAAAGCAGAAAAACATCTCCATAGCCATTGCTTTCCTTCTACTCTATCAAAGGAATTTGAAATACTCTCTTAAAAGAAAGATTTCCTCTATTTTTCCCCACATAGTATGAAAACCTGGTAACACATTTGCTGTCACCCTCCCCCCTTACCTAAGGCAACAGGCTTTTGCGGGGGTAATCTGGGAGGTGGTGGTCTAGGTGGAACGTGGGATGGTTTTGCTGGGCTCCCTGACGTGGGACATCTCTTGATTGTTCCTTGATTATCATCCTCAGTAGAATGAGTTTCTTGTGGTATGAAGATGGACTTAGGCTAAAATAATACAGAAAAAGAGACCAAAAATTAAACATGAAATTATCTTCCTGAAGTATACATTATATTAGAGGCTTTCAAACTGTTTACCACAGATGAATTTCAAGGTTATTCAACTATCTGGTTCAGATTATCTTAATGTATTATTTAAAATATATTCTAAAAATGTACACTAAAATGTGTAAATTTCTCAGGTTTTGCTGCTGTGCCAAAAAATGGGGAGGGGCCTCAATGTCTTTTTTTTTACAGACAAGGTCTCGCTCTGTTGCCCAGGCTGGAGTGCAATAGCATGATCATAGCTCATTGCAGCCTTGAATTCTTGGGCTCAAGCAACCCACCTACCTAGGCTTCCTACGTAGCTAGGACTAGGCATGTGACTCCGCACCTGGCTAATTTTTAAAAAACAAAATTCTGTAGAGACAAGATCTCGCTACGTTGCCCAGGCTGGTCTCAAATTCCTGGCCTCAAGCGATCCTCTCACCTTGGCCTTCCAAAGTTCTGTGATTATAGGTGTGAGCCACTGCCTGGCCAGTGTCCTTCTATTAATTCCTCACAAGCCTTACCACTTGGAGTAGACAAATAAAAATATTCTAGTCTTTCTTATCACTTCCAATTTAAAGGACTCTCTTTTTATTGTAAATATTCAAGCTAATCAAATTTCAGCTCCTTATCAAGGTTAATAAACTCTCTCTTGGATGATTCAACATCTTCTACGTTATAAATGCTTAATCTTTCAGACTAGGGGTAGAAGACAATTAAAATTTATCATATTGGAGAATACAAACACAATATGCCTGAGAAACATTTTTGTGCAGACAATGGAAAAATCTCCAGTTGGCTAAAGGTTTGGAGAATTTATAAATTATAAATGTGTCCCTTATTAGGAAGATTGCTCAACACTTATTTCTTTGAAGTTCAGATCTCTCTACTTCCGTTAACATAAAATAAGTACAGCATTATTTACTTGTATGAATCAGGATTTTCTCAATAGTATAAAATGAAATAAACTGAAATAAAATAAACTGAAAATAAAATAAACCGGATGCCAAGGCTGATAAGACTCCAACTCTCATTTATTATACCCAGCTCATTTTACAATTAAAATCTGCTATGCAAAAGAATTTATAAAATTAAAATAAATTTATATTATCACTACCTATAGTAACTTATTGTACTCTTAAAAAATCCCATCAGTGGGAATTATTTTATTATTTTATGATGATTTTGGTTGGAAAAATAATTTTGTTAAAATTTTTTTGAAAATTAAATATTTATGATGATAAATCACTATCCTTTACCTATTCTTAGAAATCATTATTAGTAGACTGTAGATTTTGAGGAAAAAAAAAAAATCTTACACAAATGTGAGTTTTCTAACCCAAGTGAAATAACACTAATCTATTAATACAATCATTTTTGGCATATAAATTTCTAGAACTTGTTACTTAAGAATGAACACTGAAGGTCAAGCTTGGCATTTAGAAAAAGACAAACAAAAATAATCAAAATCATCTACTTAAATCATAGTTTAGCAACTTCATGATTTTTCTTCATGGATTGCAAATGAAAAGCTATAATAACAATCAAGGCAGTATTAAAGAGGCAGAACAATAATACACATACACACACAATTCAAATTAAAAGTGAATTTATCTACCTTTGGTGGCAAAGGAGGTGGAACTTTTGCTTTCATGGTTGAACTAAAAACACAAGAGTTTAGAATCAGAATTATTCATTTTACAAATGAATCGATTATTAAAATATAATTTTTTCAAAGATACAGAAAAACACTCTATAAAAACAAGTAGCATATTCTAAGATTATAAGTTTTTTCCAAAGTATCTTGTGAAATGTTCAAGATATGTTGAATGAGTTTTTGTTGTTGTTGCTGAGACAGGGTCTTACTCTGTTGCCCAGGCTAGAGTGCAGTGGTGGCATCACAGCTCACTGCAACCTCAAATTTCCAGGCTCAAATGATCCTGAATGAAGTATTATTCTGAAGTAATTGGGAACTTGGAGACATTTTAAGTGAAATAGGCCAGAAACAGAAAGACAAATACTGCATGATCTCACTCACAAGTGCAATCTAAAAAAGTTGATCTCATAGAAGTAAAAAGTAAAGGATACTAGAGACTAGAAAGAGTAGGGGGAAGGGAAGAATAGGGAAAGATTTGTATTGCAGTTAGGTGGAAGGAATAAGTTCTAGTATTTTATACCACTGTAGGATGACTATAGTTAACAATAATATATTATTTAGATTCAAATAGCTAGAAGGAGGATATTGAATGTCCCCAACACAAAGAAATGATAAATGTTTGAGATGATGGACATGCTAATTACCCTGATCTGACCACTATACATTGTATGTATCAAAACATCACTATACACCACATGAATATGTACAATTATTATCTGTCAATTTAAAAAATTAAATTAAAAAAGTAATTGAGTAGATATGTTTGCTTGGTTTCAAATACTATTTTGTAATTAAAATTGGGAAAGATAAGTATAATTCTAGTTTATATCAGTTGAAAGGTAAAAAATTAACTTAAGAATAAAAGCAATAGCTGGCTTAGGAAAATATGATATAATATAAAATATATCACATTGTAAGTTTCATTTCTGCTTCTGTAAGAAAGGAAATATCTTTGATGAAGCTCATCAAAAACTATGTATGTGCTGTATAAACTTACAGGCAGAATTTGATTGAAGCTAAGATTCATTAAAACTCAGGATTAGTTTTAGAAATAGAAAGAATTAAAAGATGATGAAACCCAAACTTCTCAGATGAAGATATTGAGGCCTGGAGAGGTTATGTGACCTTATGCAAGGTCACAGAGTAGTGAGATGGAAAGGAAAATCTATGCTCCCAACTGCTAATCAAGGGCTCTTGTCATTCTACCATGAAAATGCATCTTTCTTTCTTAAAGAAAGAAAACAAAAAACTAAACTAAAAGGATAAACATCAATGCATACATACATAATAATAAAAATATTTCGTCTTTAAAAATATCAACTTATTTGAAATCAAATGAAATTTAATCAAACATATAACAAGCTTCTTTGTACTTGTAGTAATAATTATAGGAGCTATCAATTACTGACTAATCTACCAAAAAATTATTATTTTTATTAATTAGGTTTTTTCAAAGTTCTTTGTTATCAACTAGTATTACAGACTCAAGTGTGTTGCCCCAAAATTCACATGTTGAAATCCTAACTTCCTAATGTGACTGTATTTGGAGATAGGGCTTTTAGGAGGTAATGAGGTTGTAACAGTGGGGTCCTAATCCCATGGGATGGGTGGCCTTATAAGAAGAGGAAGAGAGATTGCTCTTTCCACTTTCTATATCCACAAAAAGAAAAAAGGCCATGTAAAGACATAGCCAGAAGATGGCTGTGTGCAAGCCAGGAAGGGAGCCCTTGCCAGGAACCAAGCTGGCTGGCACCTTGATCTTGAATGTCCCAGCCTTAGACTGTGAGAAATAAATTTCTGTTGTTTAAGCTACCCAGACTATGGTATTCTGTATGTCAGCCTCAGCTGACTAATACAACTGGAAGAGAGAAAATGAAAGAAATCACGGTACAAACCCAAAATACTGTGTTTTCTAATGAGATTAAAATTATTGTCAATGTTAAGCTGCTAGATTTATGAAATCAGGTCAAATGATACCTTTTCTTTTTACCAAAAACAGAAACAGAACATACTGTTTAGATTCATCATCATCCCCTTCATCATCTTCTAAATGTGCCACATGTCCTCTAAAGAAAAAGGGATAATACCATTGTTATTAAATGGGCTTTTTCAAAACAGTATAAGAAGAAATTTTAGAAAATGCAGGAAAGGCTACTGTAAGACAGAATTTTATTTTTAAATCTTTATAAGGTAAATTCAGAATTAAAACAAAACAAAGCAAAATAATCTTAGGCTACACGATGGAGAAGGGGGCAAACTGACTACTCATTTGTGAAATAAAGTATTTTAAGTTTAGTTAAAAATTAAAATTACCGCTGATGTAATTCTTCTTCAACAGACTTGAGAAGACTCCTTAAAAGAAAACACAAAAAAAGTGAGTAAATAAGCAGAGAAATATCAAATATTTATTTTTATCACTTACTCATAATAAGTGACTCATAACCTTACTCATAATTTTTTTGAATGACTACTCTTTTACCATTTACTGAAAGTTTGCTAGAATGATCATCTCTATAACCATTAAATATCAAGTTATATTTAATGAGATACCCTTATTTTCTGTTGTTAATGTCTTATGTATTTTAAATGAGCAAAATAAATCCTATTGTTTATTGAAAAATATCAATTCAAACAGAAGACAATTCACCATGAAATGTCACAACAGTACTGACAAAACAATAATTGCAGGGTCAATTGTCAGGGGTTTCCAGGATTTAAATTTTACCTGGAATATTATACCTGACACCTGAAATTATATTTTCTTTTTCTTAAAATAAGGAAGGGAACACACTTTTAAAAAGCATCATGCTCTCAGGCAATCCTACAAAATGAAACTCACCATGTTGGATCTCTCTGCAAAAGCATGCATGCATGTGATGTGAATACATGAATGTAGTAGCACTTTGCTTTCACGGAAGACACTCACTTACCTGAAGGATTTGTTCTCCAGTGGTGCACGGGCAAACACATTTACACTTTTGGGAGACTAAGCCTGTATCAGACCAGGTGCGAGGATTTTACCATTAGGAGCAGTATACAAAACTTTAATTTTCAGGAATGTAACAGAGAACTTAGAACATTCCTGAAGTTCCCTTACTTCTTTTCACTGCAAGTTCGTGCAGCATACTTCCTAAATTATACTCTTCAAGCATAAAATCTCAATAGCCTTCTCTTATAGAGAGAAATATAGTTACTCATAACTTGCTCGGATAAAAGTGGTTCAGCAAAAAATTTACTCTCTCTAGAAGTTATAAAGTCTTTTAATCATTTTCCCTCCTAAATCATACTGGGGAAAACTGCCCTTAGAATTATCAAAACTTAAAACCAGAGAAACTGAAAGGTAGGGTTATCTACTAGAAGCAAATGATATTTTTAGTCATCAAATATTTTAATTAGGCCAGCTTAATAACAATTTAAATTTTAAAAAATAACAGTTATGAATTTGCAGTGGTAAATGCCTTTGGAAAACCCATACACTAAATGCAAGTTCTATTGTATATATATAAAAATTGAGGTACCACAGTCAAATATTATCTTACTCACAAAGTTCTCCAAGGGCCAGTTCTAAGAAAGTAGGAGCTTCTGTCTAGAGGCAGTAGAGCAAAATGACAAGCTTTAAAGCTAAGATTGCATGAATCTGAATCTTGCCTCCACCACTGTGGTATATGGCCTGGGATAAGTTAACTTCAATTTCCCCATGCTTTAGTTCTCCATTTATGTAAAATGGGAATCACCAATCTCCAAGTGTCTGTCTGAAGATATACTGAATTAACATAGGAAAAGAGCTTAGAGGAGTAACTGAGAACAGAGTAAGTACTTGATTAGTGTTTTCTTCAACATTATTGTTGACTAAACAACATTTCTGTAAACTAGCAGTTCTTAAACTGTGGTACAGATATTGGGGTCTCACAGTCTCCCGCAGGGGATCTGCAAGGTCAAAACTATTTTCACAATACATAATCCCTTTGTCACTCTTATTTTCTCATGAATATACTGAAGTTTTCCAGAGATTACAAGACATGTGGTATCACAAAAGATTAAATGCAATATCAAAACACGAGAATTTAGTTGTCTTCCATTAAGATGGTGTTAAGGATATTTGTAAAAAAAAAATAAAATAAAATAATGCTACTTTTGTTAATATTATTTTGTTTCAGAAAAAACAGGTATTTTTCATTAAAAATGTTATTAGTGGACCTTAACTAAATGTCTGCTGTATTGCATTGACTTATATAAAGCCTCTTGCAATTATTTGCTACCTCTAAGTCTCATGAGAGGAATCAAAGGTATTATAAAGAAGGTACTGTAAAGAGGTGCATTGATCTGGCCCCTAAGGATGGGGATTTTTTTAAAAATACACAAAAAATGTATGTTAATTATGATAACACATAATGATTATATTATTTTAAAACACTTTTGTAAATATTTTGAAAATTTCTGTTTAATTTTCAATACTATAAATATTGATAGTTATAATCCCTATAAACAAAAGCTCTTTGAAGAGTTTTCAATCATTTTAAAGACAGTAAAGGAATCCTGAGACCAAAAATTTGAGAAGTACTGCTTTAAACTATTTTACTAAATTAAACATAATGTCTCTGAACTGTATAAGTGGGCTTTTATATCATTTATAAAAGATGTGAAAAAATACTTTTTCTTAAGCACATGACAATATTTTTTGAGGCATTTTTTTTTCTCTAGTAGAAAACATTAGGATTTGAAAATACTTAGGAAGACAATTTAAAATATAGTTTTACTTTCAGTTGCCATTTTTAATTGGATTGATATGGCATTCCACTTTTTAAAAAGAATCTTCCTAGGAGTTCTCTAATAATAAAAGAAAGTCTGAATAATTAAACATGGAAAAGCAGATAGCTCATGGCCCAGGAACTCATATATATTTTTTATTCATTTACTTGTAAATCTACTACGTGTTAAGATATTTTGTTCAAGTTATAGAATTCATAAAGTCTAATGAAAAATACAATACATGATTTACTTCTTTAGGCTTTATAAAAGAGAAAATAAAACATGGCTAAATTTACTAAAAGATCTGTTTACAGTAAATACTGTATCTTGAGAGCACTGGAGAAAATGTGATTGTGATTTATTCACCAAAACTCAGTGCTATATAATAAACAATGTCACTAGTCCACCAGAATCTCTCATTATGGAACTTACAGAAAGAACACAACAAAACAAAAATAATGCCTTCAGACATTGAATTACTAAGTCAATCTAAAATGAATAGGAAATTTGATGAAGAGGTTAAAAACAAAACAGTGTACAAACACAGATTTAACTGAAGAAGTGAAGAAACTGATATGGGAGATGTCTAAAACCACCACCAAATCTTCAGCCTATTCAAATTAGCTAAGGAATTCATGCTGCAGGTTACTTAAATCTTTCAAATCAGAATTGCCTACTTGCCCCAAAACAATTTGTAAGTACTGTCCTGATTATATTTCAAAACAAAAAACTTCCTATTTCTCTAAAACCGAAGAGCACTTTTAGTCACTTGCTTGTATGGTCAGTAATTATTTACATAGTAGCTTACTATAAACAAGGGCAACTAATAAGTATGTACTAAATCCTAAATGTGCTAAATGCTTTATAATGATTATTCCATTTCATCCTTAGCACCCTATGAGGCAGATACTATTATAATCCCCATTTCTCCAACTCATATAGTTTTACAAGAAGAGCCAGTTCTGCCTCTGGATCTGGCATTGACTATTACTGCACTCAATTGTGCCAGGAATTGTATAATTTAACTTATTCTACGCACTATTACTTAAGTTATTAGAAGAGAATTTATCTTTAAATTTAGCTCTACATTGAAACAAAATCAGAAATAATTTAGAGTTTTCTTTTAAAAACAGTATTTTGTTGGTTTTAAATAAATGGTCAGAAAAGTTGACTTCGGTGATAGCAGAAAGAGAAGAGGCGACAACCAAGTATAAGTCAAAACCCATATGTTTTCAGTTGAAAAAAGAAAAATGCTATGTAACAGATCTAATTTGATAGTTCCTGCATGGTCTGGATAGGTAGAAACCCATCAATGGAAATCTGTCTGCCTGATCACCTATGGAGAAAGCAGGAAATCCCGTGAGTTTTAAAACACTGGCTGGTCACAAGAATAAAGCAGACATATCAGTACAGCAAGAGAGGTGCTACATCCATGCTCATGTCACATGTATGTATATACCTACACACGAAACACAGCCAAAGGTCAAATTTTTGGCCAACCTACCTTACCAATGATTCGTTATATAGAATACAGTTCCTTAAGCAGGGATCCAATTAATCAAAAAATGAAGGTTGGGCAAATTATTAACATTTTACCTAGCCAAAATAACTACATACTATGAAAATGCCTAACAATCAGAAACCAGACAATGGGAACTAAGGAATCTGGAAAAGCATTTAGTGATATGTTTTGGGCCATATGTTTTGTATTTTGCAAGTACACAATTTTAAAATATATTTTAAACGATTCAAAAAAAGGCAAATGAAATATTTTTTTCAAATTACTCAATCTCTTAAAATACAGCAAAATTTGCCAAAAAGTTCCTTAAAACCAGTGACCTCATATTTAGAGAAAATAATATAAAAACACTTCAGATTTTTTTTTTGCTAACTCACTGTGAGACAAACTTTCCTTTACTGTCCACTAACAAGCTAAGACAAGTTATAAATAGCAAATAGTTACTATTTGGGTAAAATTTCATTTTCTGCCAGGGAAATTTTATACTTATTTTCCATTTTAAAAAACATAAAGGCCAATAATTATAAAAAGGCTTAATAATAGTATCAAGGCTAATAATAATATAGAAAAACTCTCATAATATTTAACTGAAGTTCAGCTTAAATCAAAACTAATACATTTCTCTAGGTTGTCAATCAAAGCCTTTTCTCTATGCTGGGAAAAGATAGTATATTTAAGTAAAAAATGTAGTTTATTTAAAAAATTTAGTTTATAAAAAAGAGAGACATGATTTTGCATTATTATCCTTAAAACTACTCTATTTGTCTTTAGTCATCATTTCTCAACTGCTTAACTTAAAATATGGGAATACATATGCCTCCGATTGTAATTAGCTCTATGGATAAATTTCAATGATTCCTATATATTTTTTTTTCTAATCTCCTCCCTTAACTACCTACTGGAACTTTTTTAGCTGTTTACCAGAAATGGTGGAATTTTACAAGAGATTTCAAAGGCTCTTGAGCAAGATTCCTGATGCTGAGAATCACCATCCCCCAAGACCTGCCCCAGTGCACATCACCCCTCCTTAAAAAGCATCATGATCTCTGGTGGTCAAAGAGACAGATTTGAGACTGTTTCTGTCCTGATAGACGTCTTTTATATTACAATTCCTTTCTTCCTTGGCAATCCTCCTTGTCTCAATAATTGGGTCTTTGTGTGGCAAGCAACTGGTTCTAGACTGAAACCCCCGTGCAATTTCGATAACAAACTCTAATGCAACGGAAATTGTATTCTGAAGGTTTAAGTTGTTCTAATTATTAAAATAGTATCTACACTGCTGGAAGATTTTGACAATTTAAATGATACTCCCTTATTATTAATTAAATGATAAGCAGAAAATTAGTAAAAAAAAGCGAAAAGCATATTATAAAATATATCTACCAACCTAATATGATTTACTACCTTAAATATTAAAATACCATATTAAAGGCAATTTAGTAATTCGTGAATTAAATTTTAGAAGAACTTTACTTACTTGTTTGCACCTAAAAAGTAACTACCCTGGTGTCCTTGTCCATATTCTAGTTGTAGATCCTAATAGTACAAAATAAAATATTTAGCAAAATAGTAATATATCAACACCATGATATACTAACACATATTATTTAAAAAAGAGAAACCCCAGTTCCCAAATAAATCTGTATTGCTATATGTTCTTAAAAAGAAGGCATGGTAGGACTTCCAACAATAAAAGATTTCAGAAGTCTGTAGTCCTGATTTAAGTATTTTATTATTTAGGTTGAGTATTTTTCTGGGAATTCTTCCAAATAATATATGCAAAGTTTTATTTACGGTTACTGCTATTATAATCAACACTCATAAAATTCAGTTTTTAGAAAGAAAAAAAGCTCAGATAAAGTATTTATTTTCAAGTTATAATGAAGCAAAAATGATCAGAGAAGAGAATAAGAAACAAAAATCTTGGTTTTCTTTGTACTGAAATAATTACATACATATATATATACATGTTTATGTATTTCTATTGCTGCTTCATGCAGGTAATAATTTTTTAAAGACATATAATTGGATACTATTTTTAAAGTAAATTATACATGTGAACTTGTATAAGACTGTAAATTGCATTAAAGAACTTTCAAAAAGTTTTTAAATGGTAAAATAGCAAAATTTCAAATTAGTTTTGTATGAAGTTGCCTTTTGTCCCCTTTTTAAAAAGCAACTGTATTTTAAGCACTGTTTTAACTATAAAGGAGGAATGTTTAACATTTTAAATGAATCTTATTTAGAATAAGATTCTAAAAATAGAATATAGTGTAAAGTGCTTTTTATTTTTACAAGATATTGTCAGATTCATGATGAAAGATTAATGCAAAGGTCACTTTGGAGCAGCCTTCTCTATGTTTCCACAGCATTAAACACACAGATGATCTCTAGCACTCACACTGAATTTTAATCTATTTATAAGCCTGTAAAAATAGTGGTCAGGTTGTGATCTCCTCAAACAATAAGAAATGGTAAAATCTATCTTCCTTCTCTACAGCCCATGGCTTAGCAAAGTACTTGGCACACATGAACTGCACCCTAAGTAAATGCTTGTTCAAATGCCAATTGTTTATTTTCCTATAAATAGATAACTGACACTTCAGCCTTAAGATAAAGATAATTCCAGATCACATACTAAGAACATGAGAATTCTAGGCAATACATTGTATTTAAGGGAAAAGCACTTTAAAATGTAAGTACTCTAAGACCTGTCAAAAAAATATCTGATGTAAATCAACATCAAAATCCTGGTGTAGACAAGACTCAAATTTTGTCTTCTTCGATATTTGTGTTCTTCCCTGCATAATAATAAATGTTCTTACCAGTGACAAAAAAGATAATACATCACGAACAAGAAAGATTAGCTGACTGTCACACTGATATCACATAAAAATCTAATGAAAAAGGACACCTGTTCTTTTAAATTTATAATGATTTATCTTACTAGGATAAAATCACTGTTACCACAAAACTGCCACACAATTACTACACTGCATAATTTAAGTGGTCCTGACTTTATACAGGAATCTTTAAACTTTGGTATTCGGTAAAGAGAAATACTAATCCCTATACATATGCTTCTAAATTCAAATTTGTTTTCTTCAGCTATAGATAACTGGGCCCTCTACTGGACCAGTAACATCTTTAACCAAGATAATCTCTTAAATGTTTAATCAAAGTATAGCTTCCAAAAGTACACATTTATGCAGAGTGGCCATGGCTTCTATTATATGAACACAGATGTGTCATAAAACATTGAGCTCATCTGATTCATGACAATTAGCAGGTTGATAATAATGATTTAAAAAAAGAAAGCAATTGCAATCAGCAGTGTACTTATTAGGAAGGTAAGAGAAGCGACTAAAATAACTAACATTTTAATAGAAAATTGAGCACAGGCTCATATACAGAATAACACTCAGGCCAGGGGAGAAGTTGTAGATAGAGCCAGGTCTGATGATTAAGTGTGCTACATCTCAAGTCTATCAGGAAGCTAAAATTGAAAGGGGCTCATTCTGTAATAATTTTGTCTCCCTAAATCAAGTTGTGTTACAGCAACTGTGGAACAAAAATAATGTGCTAGGCATACTATCAAGTAAAGTATTATACTAAATCCTTCTAAAAAGTGTCTAATCTCATTTGATACAACCATTATCTACCAAGCACCTATTACATTACAGGAATTCAGACCATAAATCAGACAGTGAAAATAACAAGAAATTAAAAAAGGAACAAAACTAAAGCCAGAGCAAAGTTGGTAGTTAGTTATATATCTTTAGGGCAGTCTAAGAAAGACTGACCTAAAATACTTTTGAAAAAGGGTTTGAAAGATATTATGTATTAGAAAAACACTACAGAAATTGTGCTTGGAAAAGCACTGAAAATAATTTGAGATATGGCCATCCATTAAAAGCTAAATAAGAATACATTTGAGCATGCCACCATATAAAAAATTAGCAGTGTTAATTAGGCATCAACTTATTAATGAATGACAATGCTTAAACTACATAGTAAAGTCAAATAAGGAAAACACAAGACTGAAAACATGCAATAACCTACTACAGATTCAACTTGAAGTCTCAAACAAAAGTTCAAGATGGTTATACTAGACCAATTAAAATATCTTTTTGGGTCAGAATGTCCTGATTTCAGTGGTTTAATTGAATGGGAGACTATCTCTAAACCTAAGATGGAGTTTCTAAGAAAACATGGTGTGAGAAAGAACTGAAAAAGAACAAAGAATGTAATGCAGGACACTGGAAAAGGAAAATATATGATCCAGAATATTTTATTGTAGTTCAAAAAAAATATCTCCTTGAGAGATTACAAAGTCTATACCTGATGAGAAAACAGCAGGAAGTCAATAGAATTGATACAGTTGGCTACAAAAACACAAAAGAAAAAATACTTTAGCAATATATCTTAACCAAGAAAAAAAGAGAACAGGAGAAAAATTTTTTTCCCGTCAAAAAATGAGAGAATTATGGCATGAATAAGGTCGTTAGTGAGATACCTTTTAATGTGGTAGATGGTTTATAGAAATGAAGAGGAAGTGAATCTAGGATAATTCAAAGATTTTTTTATTAAAAAGTCAGAAAAGCAAGTGGAGTCTGAACAGTAACTGATTAAGCAGGGTTCTGACTAATAAAAGCAGATAAGGAGGACTCAAACTGAATAACATGACTTTTATACTGCAAGCTTAGAAATGAGTATCAATAGGTTAGGTATACTATACAGTACTTCAGAGCAAAGATTATGTTACTACTACTTTATGCACCTCCATAGCAATTACAGTGTTTTACATATAATTAACTTTCAGTATATTTTTATTGGTATATGGGCCAAAGTATTCAGTAAAACTAGGCAAATTTAAAAAAAATAGCATCAGTTGAGATCATACTATAATCTTTTGAGGATAGCATTTTGTGGGTTAACCCCATTTTTTTTTTATTTATTTATTTTTTTATATATCAGTTGGCCAATTAATTTCTTTCTATTTATAGTAGAGACGGGGTCTCGCTCTTGCTCAGGCTGGTTTTGAACTCCTGACCTTGAGCAATCCGCCCGCCTCGGCCTCCCAAGAGCTAGGATTACAGGCGTGAGCCACAGCGCCCGGCCGGTTAACCCCATTTTTATGGTAATGGACAAAATTCTTTTATTTCATGATCACACTACACTGAGTCCTTTGTTTTTATTAAAAACTCAGGCATCATTCAACATTTTAAAGACTTTTCTTATTAACTGCCAGTGCTAAAAATCAAGTTCTATTCTTCTAGTTTCATTTTATGATTACCTGATTTTTTTTTCAAGAAATCACTTTTTGAGAGCAACAAAATTGAGGTATAATGTTCTAAATTCATTTATAAAATCATAAAATGAATAAACTTAGCATTTAAAATAACCAAAAATCACTAACATGGAATCTTTTTTTTTTTTTTTGAGACAGAGTCTCACTCTGTCACCCTGGCTAGACAGAGTGCAACGGTCTCAATGTAGCTCATAGCAACCTCAAACTCCTGGGCTCAAGCGATCCTCCTGCCTCAGCCTCCCAAGTAGCTAGGACTATAGGTACATGCCACTACACCTGGTGAATTTTTCTATTTTTTGAAGAGATGGAATCTTGCTCTTGCTCAGGCTGGTCTAGAAATCCTGAGCTCCAGCTTCCCAGAGTACTAGAATTATAGGCATGAGCCACCACACCTGGCCAACATGGAACTTTTAAGCAGCAAGATCTTTTTAAGGGAGTAAATGTTTCTTCTGGGTCCCAAAAGATCAAGGGCAGACACCTTGGTGACAACTGCCTACTAAAATGAGGGACAGACATTTTGGGTTCATCAGGTTTTTTAGTGGCCAGCAACAAGCATTTGTTAAGAGTTGAAATCTTGTTCACAGTGCCAAGATTTTAGGACTTATAAAATTAGGGGACTGCAATAACTATGAACACTTCACATCCATTAGGATATCAAGAAACAAAAACAAAACAGAAAATAGCAAGTATTGATGAGGATGTAAAGAAACTGGAGCCCATGTATGTTACTGGTGGGAATTTAAAATAGTACATCTTCTATGGAAAACAGTATGGCAGTTTCTCAAAAAATTAAAGATAGAATTATCGTAAGATCCAGTAAGTCCACTTCTAGTTATAAATTCCAAAGCACTGGAAACAGGGGCTCAGAGAGATACTTGTACATTCATATTCATAGCAGCATTATTCATAGTACCAAAGGTGGAAGCAACCCACTGGCCATCAATAGATGGACAAACAAAACAGGGTATTTACATACAATGGAATATTATTTAGCCTCAAAAGAGATATTCTGATACATGCTATAATAAAGAGGAACCTTCAAGACTGTGCCAAGTATCAGACTCCCACCAGCTGGTAAAAAAAAATAAAAGAAAAAAGAAAAAAAAAAAAAAAAGACTGTGCCAAGTGAACAGAGCCAGTCCTATAAGGACAAATATATCATGATTCTGCTTATATGAGATACTGAAAGTAGTTAAATTCATAGAGACAGAAAACAGAATGGTGGTTGCCAGGGGCTGGGGGAAAGAAGGAATGGGAGTTATTGTTCAATGGGTATAGAGTTCCAGTTTGAGAAGATGTAAACATTCTGGTGAGGG